AGTCCCTCCCCCCCTTGGAGAAGGGTGCCCCCTTGCCTGCTCTGCCTGGCTAGGTTTTGGGGGTGCCTCTCTCTTCCCTCCACCCAGGTTCCCTTGGCAATTGGGGAGGGGGGTGCATTGGGAGGAGGAGAGCAACAGGCTGCTGAGAGAGAGAGGGGGGGGGGACCCGCCAGAGCGGCCCACGTAATCCTGGCCACGGAGAGCGCCAGCCGTGGAGAGTGGGCTGCCGATGAGAGACGCAGATTAGATTTATTCAATTTATGCATCCCTCTACACAAAAGGAGTCCCCAAGCTGAGAGGGAAAGCAGTGGGCAACGCACAATAGAAATTCCTTGGAACAAACAAACAAAAATCCTTGTCCGCCAAACTGGCCCAAGTCACGGGTGTCGGGGGGGGGGGTGGAGAGTGGGGGCCTGGGAAGGAGAGGGAGCCGTGGGAACTCACCTGCCAGGGAAGCAAACCCCCCTGCGAGTCACTCTGTTGGCTTGTTTTCTTACCTTCCTGCCTTTGCCCCTCTTCCGTCTCAGGGCCCAAGGTGGCATTCCCAGGGGTGCCAAGCAGATGCCCACTGGGCACCAATCACACCTGCAGAACCCTCTAGCTTTGGCACGTGGCCTCCTGGGCCCCTTCAGACCCCCCCTTGGGTCTCTCTCTTCCTCCAAGTCCCGGGGGGGGTGGTGGAGGAGGGGGAGAAGCCAGCGGAGCTCTTGCTGACCTGAGCTGGTCAAGGACAGGTGTGTCCTCATCTCTCCATGCTCTTCAGATCTCAAGTCTACATTTGGGAAGATTGTAATATTTGCAGATTGCTTCTCAGCACCCACACGCATTGACTTCTGCCAACCTTCCTCTGCTGCTTTTCAGCCCCAGCTCAGCAACCGCCAGCGCTGTTTGGGTGGCGCTGCCCGCCAGTGCCCAGCACCCGCCCTCTTCTTTTGTTCCCCAGGCCGGCCACTTGGTGCCCACAGCCCTTTGACCAAGGTCTGCATTCTGGCACCACAGTTCTCACCAGTGCATTCCTTGGGTTAAAAATAAATAAACCTTGATACAAAAAAATGTAAAACTGCTTAAGAATACAGAGTAAAAACAGGAAGACGGGAGCCAATCTGGCCCCTCTTGTGGGAGGGAGAGATCGGTAACTGGGGCTCTGCCACCAAGAAGCCCCCCCCATCTCATCCCCCCATCTTCAGGATGATGGGCAGGTTCCTGGGAATGAGGTTGTCCTTCCTAGATCTCAGCCTTAAGGCATTTAGGGCTTTATAGCCCGGCTGCACGGCCTGCCAATGAGCTATCGGGCCCAATTCAAAGTCTTGGTTTTGACTTGTGAAACCGCAAGGACTGCCTCTCCCTATACGAATAGACCTGGATCCTGCCGTCATCCTCTGAGGACCTTCTTTGTGTTCCTCCTCCCTGTGAAGTCTGGAGGGTGGCAACACAAGAATGGCCTTTTTTGTGGTGGCTCCTCCATGTGGAACGCTCTTCCCAGGGAGGTTCATTACATATCTTTAGGCACCAGGCAAAAATGTTCCTCTTCTCCCAGACCTTTGGCTAATTGAACAATCTTTGGCCCTTAAAACTGTATGGTGTTGTGGGTTTTTTTTTGGGGGGGGTTGTTTTTGTAGCTATGTTATCTATTTTTGTGCTTTGATATAATAAACTGCCTGTGTTGGACTTATCCTTGCAGAAGCCATGCTGGTTTTTCTTCAGCAAAGCTTGTTCTTCCATAGGCTTGGCAATTATGTGTTTAGTCAATCTTTCCGCCTGTTTTCCTAGAATAGAAGTCAAAGTTAACCAGCCAATAATTTCCTGGATTCCTTTTCTAAAAATGTATTTCTTGTGGACTCTGCCTGTGACTTTGGCTAGGCTGCTGATGCTGCTGTTCAGAGTCCGCTGCCTTTCTCTGCAGCCTCACTTTCCTCCCTCCTCAGCTAGGGTGTGCTTTCTGGCAGGGAGGTGTGTGGGTGGTCCTGGGCGAGTGGCCCTGGCGCTTTGTGCCTGCCACCTGCCCTGTGCAAGAGAGCAAGAGTGCCAGCCCAGGCAGGCAGCTGCAGAGGCCTCTTGGGGAAGCTGTTGCTGCTGCTGCCGTCAGATCCACTGAGTCGCACTCCTGGGCTGGAACAAAGGGGCTTCCAAGCAGCCCCCTTTGTGGGGATGGGGGGCAGAAGCTTCCTGTAGTCCCTTAGGGGTATTTTTTTAGGGATTTTGTTGTTGAAATCAAGGTTTAATTTTGGAATTGTTAGTTTTGCAGTTATTGATATTATTTTTTTGGATCTATCTTTAGGTCTTATTATGATGACATAAATGGGGATTATTTTGTTCGGATATGTTTTTATTGAGTTCTTATGACTCCTTTTGTTGTAGTTTTGTAGTAATGGGAATCATTTCATGTCGTGAGCCGCCTTCAGTCTGGTTTTAACTGAGGAAAGGGGGCATGCAGATAAACGAAGATGGCAGCGGTGCTAAGCTGCGCCACGGGGAGGTGGTGGGGCTGGCACTGCCCCGGGGGCCCTGGAAGCCCTGCTCTGCCTTTGTAAGAACTCGGCTGTGGCAGCAGCTTCACTTGGGAACTCCCTGCCTGTTGACAACACATCCAAGCAGCCGCCTTTCTTGTTCTCTTTGGGGCCAGATGAAAACGTTCTTGTTTCAAAAGCAGATGTGAACTTTAACCTGTTCTAACTGCTGTATGTTTTATTAAAGCATGGCTGCAAAATTTGCTTGAGTTTCTTCTTTTATTTTTTTGTAAACCTCTTCAAGGTTTTGTTTTGTTTTAAAAAAAACCCAGGTGGTGCGTAAATTTTATGAAATAAAATAAATGAATTGCTGAGTGTGTGTGTGTGTGTGTGTGTGTGACTGTGTGTTCCTCTCTCCCTCTCGATTCCCAGTGGCCTCTCGCAACTCACAAGTCCCCATAAAAGCTGCCCAAACCCATTATGGAGGGAATATTTCGTGTGCTGTGGGGTGTGCCGCTGGTGGCGCGAGAGAGTTGCCCATGTGTGGGGCTGCAGGGAGCGCTGGGCTGCCTCAGGGGTAGCAGTGTCTGGAGAGAGGAGAATTCCCTGGTTTTATTTTATTTTTAAGAAGTTGGTGGCGCTGTGGGTAAAACCTCAGTGCCTAGGGCTTGCCGATCGCATGGTAGGTGGTTCGAATCCCCGCGGTGGGGTGAGCTCCCGTCTTTCGGTCCCAGCTCCTGCCCACCTAGCAGTTCGAAAGCACCCCTAAGTGCAAGTAGATAAATAGGTACCGCTTTATAGCGGGAAGGTAAACGGCGTTTCCATGCGCTGCGCTGGTGCAGGCTCGCCAGAGCAGCTTCGTCACGCTGGCCACGTGACCCGGAAGTGTCTCCGGACAGCGCTGGCCCCCGGCCTCTTAAGCGAGATGGGCGCGCAACCCCAGAGTCGGACACGACTGGCCCGTACGGGCAGGGGTACCTTTACCTTTACCTTAAGAAGTGAGGCTGTGGCCTGCTACCCTGCAGGGATGCAAAGGATAACGGGCAGGCAGGCAGGATTCCTTCCAGAGCCTTGCGCAGATACCTCATGTTGTCCTGCCCCACGGCCAACCTGTGGGTCGCCCTCTGGCTGCTGGTGGGTCTTACAGGCATCCTGTTCAAATGGCACGATGGCCCTCGATCCTGGCATGGCGGGGGGGGGGGTCTCCTTTGTCCGTTTCCCCGGAGAGTCTCCCGAGGGACTTCTGTGGCCATCAGACCACAACTGACAGCCGGACAGCTGGACGTTTGTGTTCTTGGCTTCAGTTGGGCATGCAACTGAAACCTTGCGGGCTGACGGGTCCCTGCAGGGCCCCCACTTCTGGGACTGCAGGTCACGGTTTCACTTATTCACCCGCCTGGCAATGTGAGGAGGGGGTTGTGCCTTCAGAGGGTCTCGGGAGTCATTGCAGGACAGGTGGCTCCCATACCTGGCAGGGGTGTGCGTGTGTCTGTGGGGGAAACTGAGGCAGGCAGGGGCACAATCCTGCTTGCCAGGAGAACCCGCATCCATCAGCCCCTCTCCTCACCTGGGGGGAGCTGCCCTGGAGGGGAGGGGGAAGGGCAGACTCGCCCCCACGAGCCCCTCACTCACCACCCCTTTTTCTCTCTCCCAGGTCCCTGGGGATGGACGCCAACCTCGCCTGCCAGCCTCTTTGACCCGGCAGAGGACAGAGGGCATCGCCAGTGGCTGCTGCTTGGGATGGGCCCCAATGGCAGAATCTGGAGCCACGACGCCTTGGCGGAAACGGGACCTACCAGATCCTTCGTCCTGATCCGCTGCACAGCAGCCACCACCTGACCACGCCAGGTGCTCCCAGCGAGTTGGGTGCCCGAGGACCATTTTGGAAACTGAGCTGCTGGGGGCCACCAGCCCCCCTGGGTGCTCAAGAAGCAGGCAGCTGGTTCTTGCGCTAGACTCACCTAGGGCGAGCAGAGCCAGCGAGAGGCGCCTGTGTGCACACAGACTTCAGGAGGAGCAGGATTTGGCCAGCCTCAGAGGGTCCCTTCTGCACCAGGAGAGCGCCCTTGTGTGGGTGCTGCACCCAGCATGGGGCAGGCCCCATCCTCAGATTGTCCTGATGCCTGACTCTCCTGGTCCTGGACAGCGGATCCTGCCGGGAGGGAGGGGGGCTGCTGGGACTGGGGCAGGCATGTGATCCTCGCCCGCTGTCTTCCCGAGGATGCCGAGACTGCTGCGCCCCACGGACGGCTGACCCACAGCCTGTGGCTGCCCCTCCCTCTGCAGAGGATGCCCACCTCCTGCCTCTTAGCTGCCAGGGCTCTGTGGTGATGGCTTCCCGAGACTCCTTCTGGATCCGACCGCTGCTGCTGCTGCTGCTGCTTCTGCTTCTGTGGGGCCTGGGCTGCTGCCCTGCGGGGGTCGTGTCCATGCACATGGAGCCGGGGGGCTCCGGCCCAGAAGAGTCCGGGGATGGGGGGCTGCCGGGCAGCGGGCGCGTGAAGAGAGGCTGGGTCTGGAACCAGTTCTTCGTGGTGGAAGAGTACACCGGCACGGAACCTCTGTACGTGGGGAAGGTAAAGGCAGCTGGGTCGTGGGGGGTGGGGGGCAGGGGCCGCCTGCTCGGGAAAGAGGGAGGGGACTGGGAACATGGGGCTGCTTAGAATCATACATGGGAGAGTGGGAAGGGACCACCAAGGGTCCTCTAGTCCACCCCCTGCAAGGCAGGGATCTCAACTAGAAGGTCCCCGACAGATGGCTCTCCGGCCCCTGCTTAAAAGTCTCCAAGGAAGGAGAGTCCGCCCCCCCTGCCCCCCCGGGAGATGGATTCACTGTCAAACAGCCGAATGCACATGGGCAGCACGAAACCCTTCTCAGGCTGCCTCTCCCTCCTCCTGCCGTGGGTCCTCTGAGCTGACCTGGAAAGTTGGCTGGGACATGCCTGAGCATTAAGTTTGGATCGGTGCCTCCTCGCCTCGCCTCCCCCGGCAGGACGCTCTCTCCTGCCCCCCCCCACGCTGCTGATGCCGCCGTTCCAGTTAATTCACGGCTCCCCTGGGGAGCGACTCGAAGCATCAGGCCTTGGCGAATTCCAGAGGTAGCCTAGCAACAGCCTCCTTTCCAAAATGAACTCTGGGAACCTAAAACTAACCCATTTTACAGCCCCTTTGCACGCTGCTTGCCACAGCGGCTGCCAGCGCCAAGGAAACGGCAGGCTGGCTGCGCAGAGAAGCGGCTTCTCCCTCGGAGGGAGCGCCTGGGCCCTGGGGCCTCCTGGCCCTGTGGGCATCGCCGTCGGGCACTGCCCCTTACCCCCTGCCCCTTGGCACGGCGTCTCTGCCAGCGCCGCCTCCTGCTCCTCTGCCCTGGCTCTCCCTGCACCTCCTGCCCGCTCGCCCGCCCGCCCCTCGCCCAGACGCGCCAGTCAGGACCAATAACATTTTCATAAAATCTGGGTACTTGAGCTAATCCTTTTTCTGAAGTGTAATTTCCCCCGAGGCCTCTGTCAGTTTGATGTGGATTTCCGTGGTTTTTTTTAAATAATAAAAAATAGAATTATGGGGTCAGCATGAGTTACAAACTTGTGCCTGTGGACAGATCTATTTTAGATAGAGGAGGGGATTAAAGGGGGAAAAACAGATTTAATTAAGTTGCTAATATTTAAAGGAAATTGATGAACTTGGGCTTTATGAGTTGGAGCAAACACCAGAAGAGCCTTCATTAAGGGCGAGTTCTTATTTGATTTCCTTTCTTCCACCGTCCCAGAGTCGTTTTTTATTTGTGTATCTGTGCTTTCTGTTTAATCGTTTTAATAAGGAAAATGCACCTCTGCTCACATTTAATTTTGATTTAATTAGTAGGAGGTAATTAATGGCCTCGTAAAATCCCAGATTTCTGGCCCTTTAGGGCAAGGAAACAATTTCCCTTTTTAACAGACGGAGGAGATGAAAAGCTTTTGTCTGTTTTCCAAAACCCTCTTCAAGCTCCTTTCCCAGGGCTGGCGGCTGGATTTCTCTGCCCTTCCACTCAGTGCCCCCCTCCTTCCCCAGGTGCTGAGCTGGGCTTCTCTGCTGCCCACAGGGGGACCTGGGAGCCAAAGATGGGGAGGGGGTGGCAGTAGGGTCACCTCTGCTCCCCCCCAAATGGGCACACTTCTCCCCACTCCCCCCCATTCTTCAGGTGGACCATCTGCCTTACTTTGGAGTGATTCTTTTAAAAAATCCCCTCCGTGGGTGTCTGCTGACATCCTTGTCAGCCCCCCCCTCCATGTGTGAAAGGCTCCAACTAGGGAGGAAGAGGAGGAGGAGGAAGAGGCTTCAGGGCTGACACAGCAGCTGACCCCCAGCTTCTGCCCAGAAGACAGATTCCTCCTGGGGAGCTCAGTCCGGGGGGGGGGGGGCGCCTGTGGCTCATAGCTGTGGCAAGTCCATTGCACGGTTGGCACAGAGTTGACCTTGTAGCGTCAACGTTTGCTTGTGCCTCCGCATTTATTTCCTCTGCAAACTGACTTGAAGAGCCCCCCCCTTCCTGGTCCAAGCTGGGGAGGGACGCTGCTGGGAGCTCCAAGCGACCCCTTTCTGCAGGCTTGGGGAAGTGGCGGCAGGGATCCGCTCTCTGCAGAGAGGAAAAGCAGGCGATGGAAGGTCACGGAGGTGGGAACGCAGGGAGGTTGTCCCCGCCCCCCCCCCCGGTGGCTGAGCTCCCTGCCTGCCTGATTTGAGGCAGGGGGTGGGCAGCGCAGTTCCTTGCCCGGTGGCTGCCTGTTCCCCATGCCCCTCGGCTGCCATCTTTGCCAGGCAACCGGGCACAGGTTGCCGCCTGCCGTGGGTGTCTCTGAGGTCCTTCTGGGGATCCTCTCCTAAGAGTTTGGCCCTGAGGCTGGTTTCCCCTCCCCAGCGAGGTAAATAGAAACATAAACTGCCCCTAACGAGACAAATCTAACGAGGGCCTCGTAAAACGTGGCAGGTCTGCCATCCCTGCTGGCTGCGGGAGCCGCGTCTGTGTCTGGAGGTGGATTATGGAACTGCAGTTTGGAAGATTGAGTGGGCCATAAACATTTTCATATTTCATTAGCCGATTAATGGACGTCTCCCTTCTCTGGCAACTTTGCTGATTCTCAGCAAAAAATGTTGGGGAGTAAATGAAGGCGTCTGGCGAGGCCTTTCCGGGGGCCCGGCCCGTTATGGATGGTCCCAATTAACGCCTCTGCCGTGCGCCACCGCGCTGGGCTCTGCCCGTCCAGTTACCGTTAATAGATTTCTCATAAGTGGCTGGATTGTAAAAACCTCATAACTCAGTTTAATGCCACCCATAAAATTATCTCCGGACATCTGGCCCAGATTCCAGGCACTCTGGGGCCGAGGGGAGATGCCGAGGACCCTTTCGCTCCCGGGTGGCAGAGATCCCTTCCGCAGGACGGGGGGGGGGGGAGAAGAGCTCTGAGCCAAGACCTCCCGCCACCTGGCTCCAGCTTCCCCAAAGGGCCACCAGCTGAGCTGCCCCCCTGAACGAGGGTGTCCTCATCCACTGATCTCAGCTGGAATATGGAAAGGGGCTCCGTGCCCTCTTGAGATTGGGCACTTGACATTGTTCTTTGCTTGCTCTGAAACTCTGGCTCCCTGGCGGCTGAGCAGGGCCAGGCTGGGGCAGAGACAGGTGCTCAGCCCTGTGGCTCAGGGAGAAGGTAGGTCGGGTGTTTGGCATGCGGAAGGTTTCGGTTTTGATCCCAAACCGTCTCTCGCCTGTCTCTCCTGTGCTGCTCTTTTGCTCTTTGGAGAATTAGTTGCTTTTTGTGGTTTTTATTTAAAGAATTTAATTGTGCATGGCGCTTCAGAAAAAATGTCATTTTTTTAAAACCCTGCCCTGGGGCTGTTTGCTGAAAGGCAGGTACAAAAAAAAGGGACAAGTGATTCATCCCTGTTTGTCTGCTTGTTTGATCTTCGGTAGCAGGAGTGGAGGAGGAGGGGGGCTTTTTTGCCTGAGACGCTGGAGAGCGTTGGAAGATTCGGGAGGGAACAAAGAAAAGAGCATAGTTAAAACTGTGGCACTTGCTCCCACCGGAGGCAGCGACGGCCACCGACTCGGAAGGAAGGCTTTAAAAGAGAACCAGGGAAATTCAGGGGGGAGGAGAGGACTGGGGAGGCTCCTGGCCAGGCTGGCTCAGCCGGCAGCCCTCCTTCTGAATCACTGGAAACCGCAGGAGGGGAGAGTTGCTCTGGGGCTCGAATCCTGATTGCAGTTCCCAAAACTGTCCAGCCGCTGTGAGAACAGGATGCTGGGCCAGACGGCCCATTGGCCTGATCTCTTCTCATGTTCTTAGCAGAGCTGCTGCCGGCCAGTGCAGGTGAGCTGCTTTGTGGAGCAAGTCCCCAAGTGTGGCATCTCTGTTCCTCTGGCAGGCAGAGCGCCCTCACGGTTGCCCCCTGAGGAAGAGGGCCATTTTGGAGTGTGTGTGGGGGGCTCTCCTGCTGGCTGCAGGGCCCCCTTTCTCGGCCACAGTGACCGTGTTGGAAGGGGGCGCACAGAGATTCGTGGGCACCTGAGCATCTCCGCTTTCCCCACAATGCGCATGGATCTGCTCCTCATTCCTTTTCACTCCTGGCCAAGGAAAAGGCCCCTCCCCACTTTCCCTGGGACCCCTCAGCCTTTGCGGAGAACCTCTGAGGTGGCCCTTATGGGAACCCAGCCCAGAGGGTGGGGTCCCGGCTGTCACTGCGCTAAAGCCGAGTGTCAGAAGAAATTCCGGCAGGGAGCAAAGTCAGACAAGCTCGTTCAGCCTCCGAGCTCATTAGGAGTCTTATAAAGCAGCCGGGAAAAGGGCTGGTGGCAGAGGGGACCCCAGATAATCCAGCAACCGGGACCCCAAACCTGTGTTTGAGGTGGAGTGGGCGGAGGCTCCTGCTAGTCACTTTACTTTTTAAAGTGATTTTCCCTTTTTTCCCCCCATAATTTTTTTTATTAATTTACAACAAAACAAAACATACACAAAATTTTTCACATCCAATTTTCACAAATTGCTTCTTTTCTGGACTTCCTTCAGCTTCTCCGTAAATCATCCATAGTCATTATTTTAAATACGCATTTTGTAATTTATATTGTCATTATTTATACCCTTAGTTTCCTTTCTCTTTAAACAATACTTCTTAGTTTTTCACAGTGCTTTTTAAACCCCTCTAGCGTTATCTGTCCCTCACTTATACTTTCCAGATATTCCACAAATTTCCCCCAGTCCTCGATGAACTTTTGGTCTCTTAGGTATCTAATTTTCCCAGTCAGTTTATCCAACTCAGCATAGTCTAACAGCTTCATTCTCCATTCTTCCACTGTCGGTATTTCCTGTTGTTTCCATTTCTGGGCCAGTAACACTCTTGCTGCAGTCACTGCATATTGGAAAAATTTACAGTCCTTTCTCTTTATCTCATTTCCTAATATTCCTAACAAAAAGGCTTCAGGTTTCTTAGTAAATGTATATTTTAGAATCTTCTTCAATTCATTATATATCCTTTCCCAGAAGCCTTTCACTTTCTTACATTCCCACCACATATGATAAAAAGAGCCTTCTTTATCTTTACATTTCCAACACTTATTACATGTCTTATACATTTTGCTAATTTCACCGGTGTTATATACCATCTATAAAACATTTTCATAACATTCTCTTTTAATGTCATACATGCTGTAAATTTTAGATTTTCTTTCCATAGTTTTCCCAATCCTCAAATTGTATATTATATCCAACATCTCTGGCCCAGTGTATCATTACCGACTTAACTTCCTCATCTTTTAAATTCCATTCTAACAACAGCTTGTACATTTTGGATAGAATTTTGTAATCATTATTTATTATTTCAATCTGAAATTTTGAATCTTTATCAGCATAACCGCCATCTTTGATATCTTTCCTAAACGTTTCATTTATTTAAAAATAATGCAACCAATCATATACATGCTCTTTAACTTGTTCGTATGGTTTCATTTTCCATTTACCCCTTTCTTTAAATAGCAGTTGACCATATGTGATCCAATTGCCTCTCATATTAATTTTCTTTACACTCATGACTTCTAACGGAGATAACCAGTGTGGTACTTTAGGTTCTAATAGGTTTTTGTACCTATCCCATACTTCAATCAAAGGACCTCTGAAGATGTGGCTCTCAAAACCTTTATGGATTTTCTTTTTCTCATACCATAAATACGCGTGCCACCCAAATCTGTTATCAAACCCCTCTAAATCTAACAGTTCCTTGTTTTCTAGTTTTATCCAGTCTTTCAACCAGCAAAGGCAAGATGCCTCATAATATAATTTCAAGTCCGGCAGGGCAAAGCCTCCTCTTTCTTTCGCATCTGTTAATAACTTAAACTGAATTCTCGGCTTAGTGCCCTGCCAAATATATCTTGAAATTGCTCTTTGCCATTCTTTGAAAATCTTGTTTCCCTTAATTATAGGGATAGTCTGGAATAAAAATAACATCTTTGGGAGCACGTTCATCTTAATTGTAGATATCCTACCCCAAAATGACAACTTCATTCTTCCCCACACCTCTAGGTCCTTTCTTATTCCATTCCACACTGGTTCGTAATTGTTCTTGTATAAATCTATATTTTTGGGGGTTACCCATATTCCTAAATATTTCACCTTTCTGACCACCTCTATCTCTGTTTGTTGTTGCATTACTTCAATTACACTTTGATCCATATTCTTCGCAATCATTTTCGTTTTCTTCTTATTTAATCTAAAACCTGCCACTTTTCCAAATTGTTTAATTTCTTCCAATACTTCTTTTGCTGTGTTCATTGGTTCTTCTATCGTTATTACCAAATCATCTGCAAATCATCTGCAAATCATCTGCAAATGCTTTAACTTTATATTCATTTTGGTCAATTGTTACTCCTTTTATTTTCCTATTTTGTCTTATCGAATTCAAAAGAACTTCTAACACCATTATGAATAATAATGGGGAAAGTGGACATCCTTGTCTTGTTCCTTTTGCTATCTTTATTTCTTCTGTAACTACATTATTTATAATCAATTTTGCTTTTTGTTCTGTATAAATTGCCTTTATTCCATTAAAGAATTCTTTACCAACCTCCATATATTCCAAATTTTTTAACATAAAGTCCCATGTTATATTGTCAAAGGCCTTCTCTGCATCCACAAACATCATTATGGCTTGTTTCTCATTCCTGGCAGACAGATATTCCACTATATTTATTATATTTCTTATATTGTCTTTCAATTTTTTCAATTTGATTTTCCAAAAGAAAGAAAGAAAGAAAAAGAACAGAAAAGAAAAAGAATTACATCAAAATATGATGTATCAAGTATCAAGATTACTTTGAATCTCCTGACTTCTCCCAATCCCATCCATGGGTCCTCTTAATTCTGTTTTCATCTGCATATCAATACTTTCCCCAGTTTTTCATCTTCCTAAATTATCTGTCGTTTCTATTACATTACAAGTGTATTTAGAATCCTGCTAATGTTTTGACCTGTTTGCAATGAGTTTGTATATACATTTTAAACATTTCCCATTCTTTTTAAAATTTCTTGTCTTCTTGGTTCCTGAGCTTCCAAGTTAATTTTGCCATTTCGGCAGAGTTCACCCACATGGTTTGCCATTCTTCTCTGGTCGGGGCTGTCTCCCCCTTCCATCTCTGGGCTAGCAACTTCCGAGCGGCCGTTGTAGCATACAGGAACAGTTTCTTCTGATCTTTTGGAATCTCGGTACCTATAATTCCTAGTAAAAAAGCTTCTGTTTTTTTAAACAAAGGTTAATTTTTTTAAATAAAACATTTCGTTATATATCATTTCCCAGAATTTTTTAATTCCATTACAATTCCAGGTACCTGCTAGTTACTTTCCAAGCCCCCTCCCTCCAAAAAGATGGGCTTGAGGTGGTGGGGTTTCCACCAGTGGCTCTGGGCAAGCCTGGGGGGCTCCTCTTTCCTGGTTGGCAGGATCCTGGCCACTGCCCAGAGCCTCCCAGCAGAATCCGATCCTGGTCCCCAGAGCCGCCTCCCCAGGCCCTGCTCCAAGTTGCCCAAGGGGGCATACGTGACTCCCTGCCCTTTGGCCGCACAACAACCCTGTGAGGTGGGAGAGGCCAAGAGGTTGTGTGAACTTGATGGCTGAGCAGGGATTCGAACCCAGGCCTTTCCCAGGCTCTGGTCTGACACTCTTAAGCTCTGCGCCATGATGGCTCTCAGTCAAAAGAAGAGAGGCAGAGTTACTCCAGCAATTTCTCATTTGGTGAAGGTGGCGATGGAGTCAACAGGGTCACGTTCAGCTGCTGCCCCTTGCTGCCCCCTAGATGCCAGCCCCACACATGTCTGGAGCCAAGGGCCTGGCCATTGGGAGCTGCTGCCACTGGGAAATTGCCATATGCCAAGGCAGGCCGCTGGGTCCATCTATCTCAGTATTGGCTGCACTGACTGGCAGCAATGGCAACTCGGAGGCAGGGTCTCTCCCAGCCCTCTTTGGAGATGCTGGCGGAGGGATGCTATTTGCCCTCAAAATAAAGGAAGCCGCTAGTCCTCATGGTTCTAAGTAAGGGGCTGGGTTGAATAGGAACACGAGAGGCTGCCCGACACTGGCTGGCAGCCGTAACTCTCCAGGGTTTCCGGCAGGGGGCTCCATCCAGCCCTGCCTGGAGATGCTGCCGGTGGGGCTGACCCCGGGGCGCCTGCTCTCCTCCCTGCTTGTCTCTCCCAGCACCAACCTCCCCGTCTCGCGTTCCCCGCAGATCCACTCGGACTCGGACGAGGGCGACGGCTCCATCAAGTACACCATCTCCGGGGAGGGGGCCGGCACCATCTTCCTGATTGACGAGCTGACGGGCGACATTCACGCCACCGAGCGCCTGGACCGTGAGCAGAAGACCTTCTACACGCTGCGCGCCCAGGCCAGGGACCGCCAGACGGACCGGCTGCTGGAGCCCGAGTCGGAGTTCGTCATCAAGGTACAGGACATCAACGACAGCGAGCCCCGCTTCCTGGGGGGGCCCTACATCGGGAGTGTGGCCGAGCTCTCCCCCATCGGTGAGTCCCTCTGCACGCCACCCCCACCCCCCACCCAACTGCCCCCACCCCAGGGTCCCTGCGGAGCAGGCCGGGGGCTCAGGGCTTTCCAAACGCCTGCCCTCCGGTCCTGTGCCCCCCCTCCTCCGAGGGTCCGGCCTCTGCTTGTGCAAGGCCCTTGGGGGGTTTCTTTGCCTCCTCCATGCTGCCCCCTCTGGGGCCTTTTTGACCTGCTTCCTTCACCCCCCCCAGGCTCCCCCCTTACACCCCCGCTCCATCTGCAGCTCCTGGCTCCAGGCCATGCAGGGGACGTCCTTTCCGCTGCCTGGAAAATACCCCTTTCCCTTGGGGTGGGGGCTGAGGATTTGTCAGAATCGTAGAACTCTCGAGTCGGATGGGGCCTCCTGGGTCATCTAGTCCAACCCCCTGCAATGCAGGAACCTGCAACTGAAAAGCATCCCTGAAGTCCAGCAGTTTCTCCAAACATTTAGTGGGAAGTTCCTCTCTTGCCATTTGAACTTGCCGCACCAGCCCTTGCCACCTGGCGCCCTGCTAAGTGGTGCTGGGCTGCAACTCACAAGGTTGGGCCATTTGAGCAAAACCTTTTGGGGCCGACAAGATGTGAGATTTTGTTGCATGGGCTTCCCTTGCGTTGCAAGGCGGTTTAGAGGTCACATAGCTGTGGGGTGAGGGGGTGAGACCTACTCTGGATCGGGGCACTGTGGGTGGGGGCTCTTTAACCCTTTCAGCCACCCAGGGTCCCAACTGGAAGCAGCCTTACGCATGGCTCCCTGGGCTCTTCGTTACCTGGTCAGGTTCAAGCCCCTCAAGATCCCTTGTGGACCAAAGAGAGAAGTCACTCTTCGTGGCTCAGAGGCACAGACCGTGTCTGCCATGACGCAGTACTATGTGCCCAATTCTGTGCACTTCCTTTTTTTATAATTTTTAAAAATTAATTTTTCAAGAAATAACAAAAATAAAAAACAAGCAACAACACAAATTTATACACAAAAGCAGTATCAAATCCATAAAATAGAATTCTCCGAATCCCGCGACTTCCCTCCCCCACCTCCCCTGGTTCCTTAATTTTCTTTTTCAACTGCATATCATTTCAGCTCCGAATTATTTTTCTACCTCAAATTTCTTATGCTTAAAATCCTATCCAATTTATTAACCTGTTTACAATACTTTTGTAAATACATAATCAACATTCCCCCTTCCAATGGGGGTCAGACAGGCCTCTTTCTCCCGGCTGAACTTCCAGCACTTCCAGAATCTGTTTTCATTTTACTCCAATGGGCTTTTATACAGAATCCAGATTTTATTGTTTTAACTCGTCTTCGGTTCCATTGTATCAAGTCTCCCGCCCACTACTTAGAGGCCCCTGGGACTAAGTGGTACCTGAATGGTTGAAGTGAATAACTAAATAAATTTGTAATGGGGGGGGGTGAGGGTAAAGTGGTCGAACCCAAGCGTTTTGCAGGATCCCTTGGGCTTTGGGGGTGAAATGGTTTTGGGGCTCAGCTGAGATCAGCCCCAGAGTCTGTCTCCTGAAATGGAAGATGGAATCCCTAAATGAAGACGTGGTCCTTGAGCACGTGCAGACTGCCTGCCTTGCCCCTCTGAGCCCCCGCAGCCTGCCTTCCCCACCTTCCTTGCTTTAGGAGCTGAGCTGCAGAGAGAAGCTGGGGGGGGGCAGGGTTGAGCCCCGGCACTTATTTCCGGAGAGGGGGCTGTGAGCCCCCTTTGCTCTCCCTGGGCGGGTGAGAAAGAAAAGGCAGGCTCTGTTTTGGGGAGGGAAAGAGCTGCTTGGTCCTTGGGGGGGGGGGGAGATATTAGCGGAGGCTCTGATTATTTGAAAATCGCTCACAATTATGGGGTGCCTGATCAGGAGCTGATGGAAACAAGGCATATCAAAGGCGGCGGCGCCTGTGCCAAATTGCAGATCACAGGCAGGAAGAGACGCTCCTTCCCTACATGAAAGGAGGCGATTCCTGCAAATTAAAAGGCTCAGAAGTTAAAAGCAGAGCGAAGGGTTTGGAGCGGCAGCTACGTGCCTTGGCAGCGCAATGGGCGTCCTGGGAGGCTTGCGTGCGGACGCCAGACACGCTCCGCGGCGGAGGAGCCCCAGGCCCTTGTCAGAAGCGCTCAGACCTTCCTCCTCCTCCTCCTCCTCCTCCTCTGCTGCGGAGGCAGAAACCAGAGGCTCCTTATGGCATCTCTGAGCAGGGAACGGGCATGGGGGGGGGGAGCAGGGTGACTGGCACCCGTCTCCAAGGCGCCTCCTTCTCACCCGGGTCGCGTGTCTCCAGGTGTCCTGGGTGCACCAAGAATGGCTTTCGAACTGTCACCTTCCACATGCCGCTCCTGCGTAAGACACTGTGGCTCAGCAATTTGACTGGGGGAGACCTGGGTTCGAATCCCCACTCAAACCTGGGTGGCCGGGGGGGGGGCTGTCATTGCCTTCTCTTGGCCTAACCTACCTCACAGGGATGTTGTGGGGATAAAATGTGTGCGTGGGGGAGATAGTGATATGTGCTGCTTGGAGGAAAAAGAAGGGTATAAATGTGCCCAGTCTCAGGGGCCAGGATTTCAGGAGGGGCTGCCACTGCCACCTCCCCCCCCATCCTTCCTACCAGGAGGAGTTGGGCAGCAGAGGGCGAGGTGGGGGGCCTTGGCTGAAACCTCTTGGCTGGGATTGTGAGCTCACGCTGGGGGTCCGGAGCTGGGTGTGGGGGTCCTTAGCAGCGTCTTTCGGTCTGGGGTTCAGCTTTCCTCTGCCCTCCCTGCTGAGTCCCCCCCCCCCCGTGCTTCTTGGGCGGCCACAAGCTTCCTCCACCAGCTTAGAGAGGCGATTTGGCGGCTGGGGGTCAAGACTTGTCCTGATTATCACTGCAGAGGGAATTGGTTAATCTCCTGCGGGGGGGGGGGCTGCCCATCTCCCTCCCTCCTTTCCTAGAGCCGATTTGCTTGCTTGGCCAAGGCCGGGGGGGGGGGAAGGTGCTGTCATGAGTCCCAGGACCTTCCGCTGTGGCTCCAGCAAGCCCAGCCAAGAGGGACAGATGGGTTTCTTGGGAGTGCCAAGCTCTGACAGCATGACCCCCCCTTTCCCGGGGAGAGCGTTGGCATTCCAGGCTCCTTCTGGCCACAGGTGTTCCCTAGGACTCTGGCTCTATAATAATAATAATAATAATAATAATAATAATAATTTATTTATACCCCACCCATCTGGTTTCCCAACCACTCTGGGCGGCTTCCAACAGAATATTAAAAGCACAATCAAACATCAAACATTAAAAACTTCTCTAAACAGGGCTGCTTTCAGATGTCTTCTAAATGTCAGATAGTTGTTTATTTCCTTGACATCTGAAGGGAGGGGGTTCCACAGGGTGGGCACCACTACTGAGAAGGCCCTCTGCCTCGTTCCAGGTAACCTCACTTCTCACAGGGAGGGAACCGCCAGAAGGCCATCGGAAGTGGACCCCGGTGTCCGGGGTGGAGACGCTCCCAAGTATACTGGGCACAAACACTTTGAATTGTGCTCAGAAACGTACTGGGAGCCAATGCAGGTCTTTCAGGACCGGTGTTATGGGGTCTCGGCGGCCGCCCCCAGTCACCAGTCCAGCTGCCGCATTCTGGATTAGTGGTAGTTTCCGAGTCACCTTCAAAAGTAGCCCCATGTAGGGCACATTGCAGTAGTCCAAGCGGGAGATAATCAGAGCATGGTATCTAGCTGGGCATGTGTGTTTCTGCTTGGCGCTCTCTCTCTCTCCCGCTCTCTCCTTCTTGGAGGTTTTGTGTCCCTTTCCCCCCAGCTCCCTGGTCCTGCCATCTCCTGCTGTTGAAGTGGCAGAACATCTGCTCTGCATTCAGAAGGTCCTTGTCCTAAGAGGAGACTGGTGGATCAGGCCCAGGGCCCATCTAGCCCAGTCTCTTGTCCCCGCAGTGCCCAGCCGGACGGCCCCAAGGGAAACCCGCAAGCAGGATTCGAACAGAGAGCAGCCCTTGCCCCTCCTGTGAAAGGTCCTGCTGGAGGAGTGTGGGGAGGGGGAGAAGGGAGAGAAGCCAAAGGAATTATTTGCCTCCAATGCTCCTCACTGTAGGAGGCATCGGGTGGAGGCGCCGGCCTCGTTTGTGGAAGGACAAAGGCGAAATTCTCATCTGGACTGCTGTAATATGTTGAGCCTGGGGCTGCCCCTGGAGACAGCTTGGAAGCTTCCAACAGGATTGCTTGTTTGCTCGGTGGAGATGGTAGCTGGGTCCACAGAACCCCAGTTCTCAGCAGCATCCATTGGTTTTGAATCCCACATGCCGGACGTTGTGACCCCTCAAGCTCTCCCAGGCTGGGGGTGGCTCTGCTACCTGCGATGAGGTTGTCTCCTGGGAGGCGCGGAGCCTTTTCAGTAGAGGCTCCCGGACTTTGCTGCGCCTTCCCTAACGAGGAGCATCAGAAACCTCCCTTCTGCCTGGCCAGATTGTTGTTCCCTCCAGAGTCTTCTCTGTGTCCTTCCACCTGCTTCTGCCTCTAACTAGAGATGCTTCCAAGGAGGGAGTCTGGGTCCTCCTGGGCCAATTTTGCCACGACCGGAGTGTCTTGTAAGCCTCTGCTGGGAGCTTTCCTTTCCCAAGAAGCCCTGCATGGAGTCGGTTGGTCCCTGTTAACCTGTGGGTGCCTTAATCTTGTGCGTTTCCAAACCGTTATTTGATGAAAGTCTTTGTGTGTGTGTGTCTTGTTGCCTTGTTTGCATTCTGCATTTTCGTCTTGCTTTAAGCTGCTTTGAGGGGCCTTTGGGCCAAAAGGAAGAATAAAATCTGAATAGACAAGCAAACAAACCGGAGGGAAATGAACAAGCGACTTGCAGGGTCCAGATGGCACCCACCTGTGGGCTCTTGCCACCCCAAGGCGGGAAGAGAGCCCCCACCACAATGCTGGGTCCCTGCAAGCGAGCCAGGAGGGGGGAGCCAAAGTCTGCTGCAGGCAAATGGGGAAAGCCTTTCCCCAGCCCCTAAAGGAGCAAGACTCCCTGCCCAGGGCAGAGCAAGTCCTGCCTCATTGACCATTCTCTGAGCAGCAAACAGATGAATTGGAAAGATCTGGCGGACATCGTCTGCTTGCCAGGCCTGTCAGAAGCCTCTGAAGGACTTTCGCAGGACAGGCCATTGCGTGGAGCAGGAGGCGGAGAGAGAGTCTGAGCTCCCAGGCCACTGTGGGAGGGGGCATTCTTAGGTGACAGGGGAGGCAGGCAGGGGATACAGAGAGCCTCCGAAACTCCTCTTCCACACCTCCAGTGGGGAAGAGAGGGAAGGGGCCAGCCAAGCGAGGAAAGGGCTCAAGGATGCTGCTGAGAGCCCCAGCGCCTCACCTGGCCAGGCTGGCCAGGAGGGACGCCCACCTTGCGCAGAGGGGTGAAACGCAAGGGGGGAAGGAGGAGGCTTGGGGTGCCGAAGTTCTTGTGTTGGGGGAGAAGGCGGAAGGGGCCACTCCTGATTTCTGCAAGTGACTGAGACGGACATGAACTTGGTAGATCTGCACTGTAAATAGTTTACACAATAAAACCTGTAAAAGACAGGTCCTGCCTGGTTACTCACGAGCAACCACCACCAGCCCCTGACATTAGGGGACGGGACTCAAAACAGAAAGGGGGGCGCCACACCTGTGCCGTACTCTCTGGATTCTTCTACGTGGTTAAACAGTGGAACTCCCTCCCACAGGAAGCAGGGACAGCATCCAACCTGGACGGATTTAAGAGAGGATTTGACGAGTGGATGGAGGAGGAGAGGGCTGTTGAGGGCTCCAGCCAGGACAGCTCTGCTTCTGTCTCCACAGCCAGAGGCAGCCCTGCTTCTGAATCCCAGTTGCTGGAAACTGCAGGAGGGGAGAATTGCCCTTGTGCACGGATCCTGCTGGCGGGTTTCTCACAGGAGGCTGGACTAGCTGGGACCTGGGCCCAAACCAGCAGAGTTCCTCTTCTATTCTGGCAGGGTTCTGTCTCCTGCTTCTCAAGAAGGGTGTTGTTTTATCTGATGATACATTTAAATGTTCATTGGCTGCTCTTCTGTCATGCCTCGCAGAGCGGCATGCAAAATGCCATAAAAATGCCAGATCTACAGCAGAACATTTCAGCAGCACATTTGGAAAAGCTGAGTGCAAAGCTTTTCCCTCTCTGAAGGGTTTCACCTGATGCTGCAAAGAGAGTCTGAATGATCCGGTGCTTGCATGCTCTTCTTCAAAGCATTTTTACCCCGCTCTTCAGCTGCAAAGGCCCCCAGGTGAATTGCAGGAGAATGAGTGCAACAGGGGCCACCACAAGAAAGCCCTGCTCCTGAGATCCCGCCTTGCCTGACTTCACGAGAGCCAGTGTGGTGTAGTGGTTAAGAGCGGTAGTCTCGTAATCTGGGGAACCGGGTTCGCGTCTCCGCTCCTCCACCTGCAGCTGCTGGGTGACCTTGGGCCAGTCACACTTCTCTGAAGTCTCTCAGCCCCACTCACCTCACAGAGTGTTTGTTGTGGGGGAGGAAGGGAAAGGAGAATGTTAGCCGCTTTGAGACTCCTTAAAGGAAGTGAAAGGCGGGATATCAAATCCAAACTCTTCTTCTTCTTCTTCTTCTTCTTCTTCAGAGGGGAAAGAGGGATGGGGAGACGCTGAGCCCCACTGTCTTCCTGGCCAGGCAGGTTCTCATGGGCACCCTGCTGTCTCCTCAGCCCAGATCAACTTGTGACGACTCCTCATGGCTTCATCTCGATTTTTAATGGCAGAGGGGACAGGATGGAGCTTTGCAGCAGCCTGCCAGGGTGCCAGGAGAGAGCTGCCCAGTGCTGCCCTCTGACATTGGCCCCGTAGTTCATAGTGGAGCAACTGTGACTCCTCCAAGTCTCTCAAGAGCCAGTGTGGTGTAGTGGTTCAGAGCAATAGACTCGTAATCTGGTGAACCGGGTTCGCGTCTCCGCTCCTCCACCTGCAGCTGCTGGGTGACCTTGGGCCAGTCACACTTCTCTGAAGTCTCTCAGCCCCACTCACCTCACAGAGTGTTTGTTGTGGGGGAGGAAGGGAAAGGAGAATGTGAGCCGCTTTGAGACTCCTGAAGGGAAGTGAAAGGCGGGATATCAAACCCAAACTCTTATTCACAGGCCCTTCTGGAGGATCCCGTGATCCTCTGCATTGAGCTGCCGAGAGATCGAGTGGAAGCAAGAGGGTCACCTCCTGCCTGGGGAAGACCATCGGTCAGGGCAACCCAGACTGCTGCCATCCCAGTTGCACCTTGGTGGAAAGGGGTGGATGGAGGGAGGTGGGGTCCCAGAGTAGTGGGGTGGGGGTATTTTGTCTCCAAGCCCTGTTGCTGCTCCCCCCATAGCGTGAGATGCTGGCTGGGCTTTGTTTTTTGGGGGGTGGGGTGCCTGCCTTGGGCCTTGTCTTGTTCCTGCAAATCCCCCTGATTGATTCAGATAAAAGCAGGAGAAAAACTCTCTATTAGTGAACAGCAAACAGAGGAGAGAAAGCTTCGAGTCAACCAAATCCTTCGCAAGCACCAGCTAAACCGTCTCTGGGGGATGTGAGTCAGACCACAGGCAGCACAGAGCCAGGCAAAGCCGGGGATAAAAAAACCGCCGTCGGGGGAAGCAGCAACAGTTGCCCCCCCCGGCATTGCTGTGTGTTGCCCAGGCTGGCAGGGCTGGTGGCTGGCAGGGTCCCGGCAGGAGGGAGGGGCTCAGGCTGGTCTGCGTGTGCAGCAAGGGCAGCCGCAGAGGGGGATCTGGCCCCGGTCCACGAATTCGGAGGTTGGGCTTCAAGCAAGAACGACCCTGGCCCCGCTGGGACATCTCCTGCCTTCCCTTTGCACTTGGGGGGAGAGGACACATCCTGCCCGGTGAATAGCCATGGCATTTTGGTCCTCCGGCTCAGAAAGTCCTCAGAGAATCACAGAATAGTAGAGGGACCCTCAAGGGCCATCTAGTCCAGCCCCCTGCCATGCCGGAATCTGAGCATCCCTGGCAGATGAGCACCCAACCTCTGCTGAAGAACCTCCCTGGGAGGAGAGCCCAGTGGAGCTGCTCTAGCCATGATTTTGTCATCCGGCTTCTGAAGGTGTCCGAGTGACACTCTCCTGGTCCGATGACCAATGGCCATTCACCACTTGGAAGAGCTGCGCCGGACAGCTGCTTGCAGACGCAGCGGTGCCAGAGAAGTTCAAAGACTGTCTCAAGGCAAATCTGGAAAAAATGTAGTATAAACACCAACAACTGGGAGACACTGGCCTGCGAGCACTCCAGTTGGAGACCAGCCTTTACCAAAGGTGTCATGGGCTTTGAAGACACTTGAACTCAGGACGCAAAGGAGAAACGTGCTAAGAGGAAGGCATGCTTGGCAAATCCACACCATGATCAGCTCCCGCCCGGAATCCAATGTCCCCACTGTGGAAGGATGTGTGGGTCCAGAATTGGCCTCCACAGTCACTTACAGACTCACTGTTAAGACCGTATTCATGGAAGACAATCTTACTCGGCTATGAGGGATCGGCAAAGAAGAAGAAGACAAAGAGAAGAAGGAGAAGAAGAAGATGAAGAGAAGATGAAGAAGGAGAAGAAGGAGAAGAGGAGAAGAAGCCAGAGAGGTGAGCTCCATTTGCCACGTGGCACATGGTAGGCGTGGTGGTGCTGTCAGGTTCAAGCCGAGGATGGCACCGCAGCCAGGGGTTCCTCCCCAGAGCCAGCCACATCTGGCTCAGCCTCCAGGGGACTCTGGGCGTGGGGGGTGGGGGTCCCTCTTCTGGCCTCCAGCACTTGTGTCCATGTGTTTGCCTTGCACATCTATGGACATGCATTTCATTTATGAAACTTCTGATTGTTATAACCATTGGAAGGGGGTGGAGTCTTCCTCCTCAGAGGTTTCCAAGCAGAGGTCCAAGAGCCATCTGTCAGGGATGCTACAGCTGTCATTCCTACCTTGCAGGGGGTTGGACTAGATGACCCCCTGGTTACCTTCCAACTCTGCAATTCTAGGATTCTTGCTCACTTTTCTGCATGGGGGGTTGGGGGGAGCCTTGCCTGGGGGGGGGGGTGCCCTGTTGGGTTCAGCCCAGTCGGACCCTTCTGTGCTTCTTCCCACCCAACTGATGCCACCTTTTAGCAAAGAGAGAGAGAGGGGGAGACCAATTTGCTCTGACTTGTTAAGTTTTTTTGCTTTGGGGGCCCCCCTGGTGTGCGCTGGAGAGAAGGTTGGGGGGGGAACCTCTCTTTATCCACTTTACGTGCCTAATTATCTCTCTCGCTTGGGGGGGGGGCTTCTGCAGCTCATTGCCAATGCTGAGGGTTTGTTTGCTTGCGAGTCTTGCGAGATTTCCGCCCCCCCCCCCGAAAAGGCAGAGGCTGGGATTTGGGGGAGGAAGGCGAGAGCAGCTGCGAGATCTGGAGGTGCAACGCAGACGGAAAGTCAAGCAGCCAAGTCTCCCTTCCAAGCATCAACAGAGCACAACCCCCCCCAGATTAAAACCTGTCTGTCAAAAACCAAGGACAGGTGGGGCAGGTGCCCCCTGTGACCGGGAGGGAGGGAGACCACAGAAGCTGGAGGCAAAGATGGGCACAGCCCCCCCCCCCCGCAGACTGCAAGCAGGAAGGTGGGTTGGGGGGCTGGCTGAGAGAACCCCCCCCTTTCGCCCCCAGGAACCAGCCTGCAATGCCCAGGCCTGGCGAACGGGAAAGTCTTCTTTCCCTGGCACCAAAAGGACCAGCAAACTCTTTCCAACTCCTCTATCAATGGTATTTAGCGCCTTCCAAATTGAATTTAATATATAAATTAGGACCGGATAAATGTTGGCGACGTGGATTAAATAAAGCAGATTACAGCCATCTTTTCTGGAATGCTTCTCAGATAGAAATATTCTGAAAATCTGTTCAGGCTAATAATCTCTGATATGATATGATAGGATATCATATATAGCCTTGGAACCTCAAGGATTTCTGCTTGGTTATCTAAAAGATGTCGTACTGGAAAATGATCAAGAAATAGCGTTCAACCTTAAAACTGCTTCTAAGATTATAATAGCTAAAAACGGGAGGGAAAGCACATCTCTTTCGATATCGGAATGGAGTGAGAAAATGTGGTCGAGAGTCACTACGATCAAGCTAACCTGTTATAAACCAGCCTAACAGGTTAATGGAAAAAATGTGTTTCTTGTAATGTTTTGGAACAACAAGTTCAATACTATAGCAAGATTTCTTTATGCTTTATATTTCATTTATTTCTTTTTGTTAATAAAATAATCCTTATTATTATTATTATTTAAAAAAGAGCACCAAGGTGACCTCAGGTCAGGTACACCAACTCATGGGGACCGAGCTCTCTAGCCCCACAATATTTTGGGGAGGGACCCTGGGCCCCCCAATGTCCAAAAAAATCAGGTGGTGGAGGAGGTCAAGTGCAGAGGTGCCGTTCTGCCCTTTGATGGGGGGGGCAGTATTCCCGCACAATTTTGGGTTCCTGTCCCTTTGCGGCCATTCTGTATGAAGCCCCGGCCCCACAGCAGCCATTTTGTGACTGGCACCCACAGCCCTTTCTCCTCCTCTCAAAGGGGTCCACTGGGGGAGCGGGGGGGGGGGGGCTCTACGCAAGGCTGCCCCATGTGGTGAAGGGCGGAACTGCGAGTGGCCAAAGGACACCTCCTCCTCGCCCCCCCTGCCCTAGATTGAGATGCCCCTCGGAGGCCGTGGGGCGTCTCCCCCTGACCAGAGGGGCTTCTTGGGTGGGAAGGGGAGGCGGCCCCTTTTCTGTGCACCCGGTTGTGGAATTGCCCCCCCAAGAGGTGAGAGCGGCCCCTCCCCGGTGCCTTTGGGGCGGCAGCTGAGATGTTCTGTTTCCCCAAATCTTTTGCCCCTTGCTCTCTGCCTCCTTGACCCGCTTTGCAAGTGGGGTCCATTGTGGTGATTTCTGAGTGGTGTGGCAGGCAGCCTAGAGGTGGCGCTGGGGGCGGGGATCTGGCATGGGGGGGCGGGTTCAACACAGTAGAAGGAAGAGACCTCTGTGACTTCCAGCCCCCACCGTCAAGGACTGGTGTCCCAAGTCACTCTGCTGCTGTTACCCTGCAAAGGAGCAACGCGACACTCCGACCATTATGCCGCACTACCTTCCAAGGCGGGCTTGGCGCTCGCACAGTGTTGTTGGGCTTTCTGGAGCTCCCTCCAGTTTGCCAGCCTCAAATCCCGCCCCCCAGCAGTGCATTTAGGCAACAGTTGGCAGGGGCCCTTTGGCATTTAATGGTGCCTGGTTTTACGGCCGGTGCCATCTGTGTCTGTTTTCCTGCGTGGTGTTTTTTATTCCGTTTTAAACGGTTATGATCTTGCCGTTTTAAAACTCTTCTGGTCACCTCAAGAGGCTTTCTGACTGACAGGTGAGATGGGGGGGCAGATCCTTCCCTGAAGGGCTGGCCCCACCTGAGCGATCCCTACCTGGCGGGGGTCCTGCCCACCTGCCCGCCCTGCTTACCTGGATGGGCACTGCCAGCTGGGGAGGCCTCTGCCTTCTCCCCCCCCCCCACTTGCCTTGTCGGTCTCTGGGCCATCAGCAGCCTTCCAGCCCCCTCCCCAACACCCCCCTCCTGCTCCTCACGTCCAGGGGTCCCACTTTGGTCAAATTGAACATGATGTCAAATTAGACCCATTGCAGGGACACTCAGAGTGAAGCCCCCGGTTTAATGAGGCAGCGTTGAAAATCAATAACTTAATTGCAGCCGTTTGATGGACTTTTATCCAATTTGCACTCTCTCTGCCCCCCCTTCTACGTGTTGTGCATGAGGACCCTGGGCTCTGTCTGGGATGGAGGAGAGCAGGCTGGGTGGGGAGAGACCCGCCACCCTATGGGTCCTGCCCGCTCCCAGGGGGCCTTGCACAGATCTGAGCCTGCAGGAAATTATCCCACCCAGGACAGGGGGAGGCTGTGTGCCCGCCTCGGTGGGGCTGGGGCTGTGGAAGTCGGGGCTCAGGGCTGCTGCTCACGTGGGGCTCTTTCTGTCCTCCCCCCCAAGGGACATCGGTGATGCAGGTGATGGCGTCCGATGCCGACGACCCCACCTACGGAAGCAGCGCCCGGGTGGTCTACAGCGTCCTGGAGGGTGAGCAACACTTCACGGTCGACAGCAGGACGGGTGAGTGCCAGGCAGAGGTGCTGGGGGCACTGGGGGGTGGGAGGGGGAGCTGGCTGGGCACAGGCTTTGACCCCCAACTACCACCCCCCGGCTCTCCTGGAGCAGAAGCTATCCCTTTGAGAATCAGGGGGGCAGCCAGGTAGCCTAGCAAATTGGGTGCTGGGCTTGTGAAAGGGGCAATTTAACCTGGGGGGGGGTGTAACCTCGGGTCTGTCCTGCTTCATGGGGGGGGGGGGGCTGCAAGGAAGATCAACCAAGAACGCCAGCCTGGCAGAGGCATCTTTGGGGTTCTGCTGCAGCAGCTCTCCCTCGCATAGTTAAACGGTGGAACTGCCAGCCACAGGAGGCAATGATGCCCCCCCCCCAATTTAGGACTAATTCATGGCCAAGAGGACTGTCCATGGCCCCCCTTATGCTTCTGAATCCCAGCTCCTGGAAAGCACAGATGGAGAGAGTTGCTGCGTGAGGGTTTTCCACCCCCTCCTCCTCTGTGCCCACCTGCCTGGTAGCCAGGTGATCTCCCTGGGAGAGAGGGAGGGGCTGGCATTAGGAGACCGTCCGTGGGCATCTGACCCAGCGGGGAGTCCGGAAATGTCAGGCTGCGCCGGCTGGGCCCACCTTGGAGGAGGGGCTTGACCCTTCCCGGGTGCAGGGGGGGGGGCTGGTACTCTGAAGGGGCACAAAGGCTCCCCCCTGCCAGGCTCTCCAGCAGCGGCTTTGTTAGCGCCGGGCCTTTGATTAAAGGCAACACTTTAAATTAAGGATTGCTTTATAAATGCTCTATTAATATTTGATGGGTGAGCGGTGGAATCCGCTCCATCCTTTAATAACTTCTAATAAAGGCCTGCTGTAAAAGGACCCGCGATAAATCCCCAGCAGATGATTCCGTGACGGCCTGTTAGGACGGGGGGTGGGGGGCCTCACTCGCTCGCTTCCCTGGGCCTGGGGGGAGGGGGAGGCTCAGAAAAGGGGCCGCTGGACCCCATGGCAGTCGCTGTGAGGGCAGGGACCCCTCTGGGTGCTGCTGGCGGTACCCGCGGTGAGGAGCAGCCAAGAGGGCCTGGGCTGGCAGTCCCGGAACCCAGCTCAGGATCCCCGCAGGGGCTGGCAAGGGGTCAGCCCCCTTGAAACCCAGAAACGGCCAGCCAGGCTTCCGTGGGGCTCGAGTGTCTCTCCATCCACCCCCCTTTGCTTCTTTCCGTCCTCAAGTTGAGTGGGGAGTTTCAATGCGCGGCGATGCGTCAGATTCACAGGCCTGCCCACTCCGGCTATTCCTGGGCAAGCAGCTGTCTCTGCCCACACCCCGCAAAGCCCCCTCTTGCCAAAGCAGCTACGGCGCCCCAAGAGGTCCCCAGGGATCCTCGGAGGAGACTGGTTCTCTGCTTGGAAACGGGAGCCACGCTTTTTCTCCAGCCTCAGAAGTCTTCTTTCCAACGTGGCAACCTCGGCCTGTTTCTGGGCAGGAGATGTCTCCCTCTCTGCCTGCCTGCAGGTGGTGCTGTGGAGGGCGGGGGCAGGGGCTGCAGGAATTACCTGCGTGAGATGGAGACCTGCTCCTTCCTCCCCTCCCTCACCTGGGGGTCTCTGCCGCTCCTAACTTGGGCTGGCCCAGAGGAGGATTCTTCTCCCTTGGCTTCCTGGGCCTGCTGACATCCTGGCATCCCGCGAAAGCCCTTCGGAAGTCAGGCAGCTTCTGTACCCGCTTTCCCCTCCACTGAGTGTGGCATCAGGAGCCCTCCTCCAAGCCAGGGTGGCAGCAGCTGTTGGTGGTCCAGGAGCAGGCTGCCAACTTGCGCTGGCTTGGGTGGCATGGGAGCTGAAAGAGCCGTTGGGGAGACGTTTGTCCTGCTGAGGGCAGAGGCCGCGGAAGCCCCCCCCCACTCCGGCCGGGTCCCGTCATGCACCTGGCCAGCTGCTCCGCCTGGCAATTCCTTCCTGTGCTCGGAGCATCAGGTTTAATTGCCCAGATCAGCAGCTTAACTTGCAGAGCCATCGTGATCATTAATGCTGTAAAAGGAGCCATAAAATCTGGCACCTTCATTTTTCGTAATATACGATAATGGAGAGCCGTTTGCTTTTCCTTTTTGACTTTGACCTGCTTTCTCCCTCGCCTTGATCACGCCAGGAGACCCAGGCGGGGAGCAGCCCTGCCGGCTGGGCTGTCGCACGCGGGTGCAAGTGTCCTGCGCAAGGCTTGACGGGACCGTGCGTGTCTTTGCACGAGCGGAAAGGGAAAGGAGGAGCTCTGACCTTCTCTGAGGGCCTCCTGCTCAACCTTCTCCGAAAGGAAAGCCAGCAGGATCAGGCCAATGGGCCGCCTAGCCCAGCATCCTGTTCTCACTGTGGCCCAATTCTTGTAGAAATCCAGATAGACTTCATCTGGACCTGGAGGTTCCATAAGAGAATATGAGGAGCCTGGCTGCTGGATCAGGACACAGGGGGACTGTCTCATCCAGCCTTCTGTTCTCACAGCGGCCAACCAGATGCCCCACCGGGAAACCCGCAAGCAGGATCAGACCCCAGAGCCCTCTCTCTTCCTGGCATTCACAAGCATTTTGGCCTCCAACCATGGAGTGCAGAGCAGAACCACCTTTGATAGTTTCTTTCTCCTTCATGAATTTACCGTATTTTTCGCTCTATAAGACGCACCAGACCACAAGACTGGTTTTTGGAGGAGGAGGAAAACAAGAAAAAAAAAATTCTGAATCCCAGAAGCCAGAACAGCAAGAGGGAGCGCTGCGCAGTGATCCCTCTTGCTGTTCTGGCTTCTGGGATAGCTGCGGAGCCTGCATTCGCTCCATAAGACGCACACACATTCCCCATTTCTTTTTAGGAGGGCGTCTTATAGAGCGAAAAATACGGTATCTCCTCCTCTTTCAAAGCCGTCCAAGCTGGTGGCCCTCACGGCCTCCTGTGGCAGGGAGTTCCATAGGTTAACTCTGCTCCATCCTTCCTTTGGTCTACCCTGAATCCCCCAGCATTCAGCTTTGTTGGCACTGCCAGGTCTTGGCACTTCCCCCCTCCCAGTGCTGCTTCTGGGCAGAGGGAAGACCTGTCCTGGTGCATCTCCTCCTTTCTGCTGTGGCCGGGGGGAGGCTGAGGCGGCTGGGCTTGTCCGCTTCTGCAGGAGGTGGCATCCGAGTCTGGCCAAGGGCACCGCCAGCGCCTTCCGCCCCAGGGGCTCTTGCCCGGAAGGGCTCCCAGGTGGGCAGAGCCTTTGAACCCGGGGCGAGTCGCCTGCCTGCCTGCCGCCTCCTTGGGAAATTAGGATGCATTTACGGATGTAAAGTGGAAATTAATCTTTAACGACCAGAGGGATTTGGGATTTGGCTTCGTTTTGTGCCGTCTCAGGCCGAGTCCCCAGGCCCCATCTGTTAGGGGGCGGAGGGGGGAGAGGGGACCCCTTGGCCAAGAATCTGGCTCTGGAGAGGCCGACAGGTGGGGCCGCTGCTCCTGCAGGAATTGGCACGCAGGGCACTTGGGTTCCCCTGCCAGGGGCCACTGGGTGAGGCTTTGAGGAGCACAGAATCCTAGAACACAGAGTTGGATGGGACCCCCAGGAGGCATCTAGTCCAACCCCCTGCAATGCAGGAATGAGCTGAGCCAGGATGAGGCCGCTTGGACTCAGAGCTGGCTGCCTTGACTGGCCACGGGTGGCATTCAGGCCACGGGGACTGTGGACGCTGAGCAGAACCTTCCTGGCTGGGAGCCACTGAATTTGCCTGATCCTCTTTCATAGCTACCCAGGTTGGTGGCCATCTCTGCCTCCTGTGGCAGGGAGTTCCAGAGGTTAACAATGTGCTGCGTGAAGCAGGACTTTCTGTTTTCTGTCCCAGGTTTGGGGGCAAATTCAGCCCCTGTGAGGCTCCTGGCAAGGCAGGTTGAAAGAAGAAGCAGCCCAGCAGTTTGCAGTTGTCCCTCCCTCCCTCCCTCTCCCCGCCCCCCCCCCGATTTCCACAACCCTTGTGTGCAATAGATGGGCACGGAGCCAAAGGCGGGGAGGTGGAATCACTCGTGCGAGGGGAGAAGTTATTTAAAAGAGAGGCGATCGGGTGTGGAGGGGGGGGCTGTGGAGATAATGAAAGCCAGCAGACGCAGCTGCGCCCCCCCCCAACTCCCTGGGTTTCCTCTGAGTCTTCTTGGCCTCGCAATGAGCCCAGAGTGTGTCAAAGAATTGTAGAGGGCACCCCCAGGGTCATCTAGTCCAACCCCCTGCAATGCGGGCAGAGATGCCCAACGAGGGGAGAAGCTGCGTTTGAGTTCTCCCTTAGATGGCACAAGCGGAGAGGCAGAAGGTCAGCATATTCTGGGATGGATCGGGCCCCTGGTCTCTTTCTCCTTCCATGGGGATGTCATGGGAGGCGGTACCGGCTCTTCCTTGGATTGCGTGCATAATTATGGGATGGAGTCCGACTGGTGGGAGGGTTTTCCCCGGGGCTGGAGTGGAAGCTGATGAGCCGGTGGCAGAGCAGGGTCCCTGCCAGCATCCCAGCGCCCCCCTCATTCTGCCCGGTGCTGAGGCCTCGCTGGAGGGCCCTGGGCTCCCTTCCTGCTGGGAGGATGATGAGCTTCTGTCTCCGCTGAGCCCCCCCCCCCACGACATCCCTCTCATCACAGCGCGGCTGACAAGAATCATTTTCATTATAAAACGCTTCAGACCCTTTAATTAACAGAGCCGTTTCCATTCCAATGAGACGCCGCCTGGCTCTGGAGCTGCAGCAACTTGCAGGAGCCAGACGCCAGCCCCTTCTGAACAGGAGAGGACCAGGAGAGGTGCAGGGTCAGGCCAGCGACCCATCGTGTCCGCAGGATCCAAGGGCAAGATGCCCTCCCCTCCGGTGGTCTTTGGCAACTGACTTCTGCCTCCGCCAGTGGAGGAAAAGCAAAGCCATTTCATTTATCATCATCATATTAGAATTTGAATTAGAATTTCTATACCGCCCATCATCCAAAGATCACAGGGAGGTTTACAATATAAAAACACAAAAATACATACCATAGTAACAAACAGAAATAATGCCCCACGCCTCCCTGGTTGTAAAGGCCATAGATTGTTGAATAAGCCAAAGGCCTGGGAGGTGAGGAATGTTTCTGCCTGGTGCCTAAAGCGATGGAGAGAAAGTGTCAGGCCAGCCTCCTCATTATTATTATTATTAACTTTTATTTATACCCCGCCCTCCCCAGCCAAGACCGGGCTCAGGGCGGCTAACACCAGATATAAAAACAATTGATTAAAATACAACTTAAGAACAAGATTAAAATACAACATTCAGATGCAGCCTCATTTCAGTAGGAACTCAAATCAAAATCTTTTTGGGGATGAAAATGTCAAATCTTCACCAAGGCCAACTATCCAGACTGGTGCTACGAGGGCCAGAAAAAAGCCAGGGAAGTCCCCAAATAGGAGTTCCATCACAGAAGGAGAAAGGATAATGGAGAGAGGGGAAGGGGATCAAGTTGATTCCAAGCCAAAGGCCAGGCGGAACAGCTCTGTCTTACAGGCCCTGCGGGAAGAAATCAGATCCCGCAGGGCCCTGGTCTCATGAGGCAGAGCGTTCCACCAGGCTGGGGCCAGTGTTGAAAAGGCCCTGGCTCTGGTTGAGGCTAATCTGACTTCCTTAGGGCCCGGGACCTCTAGGGTGTTGCTATTTATGGACCTTAAGGTCCTCCGTGGGGCATACCTGGAGAGGCGGTCCCGTAGGTACAAGGGTCCTAGGCTGTGGGAGACACCACAAAAGTTCTCATGTTGCCACTTTCCAGACCTCTCATGGAGGAGACACACGAAGAAGGGCCTCAGATGATGATCTCAGGGTCCATGTTGGCTCATTTCCTGAGCCCTTTGAGGCTTTGTAGGTCAAGAGCAGCACTTGAATGAATTGGGCCCAGAAACTAACTGGTAGCCAGTGCAGTAAGACCAGGACCGGGGTCATACGCTCAAACCGTCTTGCTCCGGTGAGCAACCTGGCCACTGAATTCTGCACCAGCTGAAGTTTCTGAACGGTCTTCAGGGGCAGCTCTATGCAGAACACGTTGCAGTAATCCATCCTCGAGGCTACCAGAGCAGAGACAGCAGAAGTTAAAACTATCCCTGTAGGGGTTCAGCTGGGACACCAGGCGAAGCTGACGGAAGGTCCTCTGTGCCACTGAGCCTCAAGCGACAGTAGTGGATCCAGAAGGACCTGCTCCTTCAGAGGACGGGGACCCCCATCAAGAGCAGGTGCCCTCCCACCCATCTGGTCCAGGGAATCCCCCACTAACGGGACCTCCGTCTTATCTGGGTTGAGCTTCAGTTTGTTGGCTCTCATCCTGTCCATGACCGAGGCAAGACACTGGTCCAGAACTCCCACTGCCTCACCTGCAGATGCCAGGGAGAAAGAGAGCTGAGTGTCATCAGCATACTGCTAACAGCAGACTCCAAAACTCTGGATGACCCCACTCAGAGGTTTCACGTACCGTCTTTTTCGCTCCATAAGGCGCACCGGACCATAAGGCGCACCTAGTTTTTAGAGGGGGAAATCAAGAATTTTTTTTTTTCAGGGAGGGTTTCAAGCAGGCAGGGAGCGCCCCTTCTCCCAGGAAGGAATTCCTTGCCCTCATGGCCCAGCCAGTTGTCCCCTCTCGGCTGGTTTTATCGGGGTCTAGAGAGCAAGGGTCTCCCTGAGCAGTCCAAGCCCCCTTTCCGCATCCTTGAGCCTTACCGTAGACTCTACTCTGGACCTTCCTTGAGATGCATCTGCTGTAACAGCGGAGCCAGGATCCTGGCGGGTGCAAGTGGCTTTCTCCTCTAGATGCTTTGCAAACAAGTCACGTTGAACTGCCTCCTTTGGCCAGACTGTCAAGCACCCTGCATGCATGATCCGGGAAAGCTCTGCTGGACGGCACAATCAGGATGCAGTGGAGGCAGCAAAGTGCACCATCCCGGTTGGCAGCCATCCCTGCCTCCTGAGGCAGGGAGTTCCATGGTTTAATTCTGCCTTGCGCGAAGAAGGACTTGCTTGAAGATGTTCAGGATCTTCCAACTTTCCGCTTCTTTGGATGTCCTGCCTCCCAAGGGCTCTGCCACCCGGATGCCAGCTCTGACCAGGAGGATCCTTGGCCTGGCCCTCTTCCCAGCTCTCTCTCGCTCCCCCTGTCCCTCCCCCCTTGTTCCCCAGCAGGGCGGGACCAGATCTCCAGGGAGGCAGCAAGTGCAGGAGGCCCTGCCTGCTGGTTTGGGAGGTGCCATCTGGTAGCCCTTTGCTGCAGGAGTGCTCTTCCCATGCTCAGAGGCACACAGATGAAGAAGGCGGCCTGGGACTCCCTGCATGTGGGAAGGCTTAGAGAGGAATGCAAGGAGCTGCTTCACACGGAGCCAAAGCCTTGGTCTGTCTAACTCAGTGTTGTCTGCACTGATTGGCAGCAGCGGCTGCCAGAAATTGAACCTGAGACCTTCTGCATGCAAGGGAGCTGCTCTGGCCGGCCCCTCTCTCTGGAAAGGGGGCGCTGAGCCCCCTCTGCTTCTCTTTGCAAGCTCAGCCCCAGCAGGATGGGCAGCGAGGGGGAGAGAGAGCTTTTTGCTGGACTTTGCAACGTTTTGCATCGAGCAAGCAGCGTGCCCCCCCCCTTCTCTCCCTCTTTCTGGTGGCAGGGAGGGCAGCCAGAGCTTTTGGGGTGAGGCGGAGGTAATTGCAGGGCACGGCGGCTGACAGCTGTCAGCCAGGGAGAGAGGCCAGGAGCGGCTTTGGGTCCAGCCAGCAGTGATGCCTCCTGACAATCAGCCCATCAGCGGCGGGATAATGAGCAGAGCCTTCGGGGCTGCCAAGCGTCTCCTGGGAAGAGCTGAGAGGCAGCAGCGGGTCGGGGGGGGGGCGCGCAGGCCTAGCCTCTCCAGCACTCCGGCCCCCACTTGGCTGCGCCCCCAAACCAGCCCCGGGGAAGCACTGAGCAACCAGCAGGCTCCCTGCCCCAAATGCAAGGGCTCTGGAGAGACGCTGCCAGGAAGGACGTTTCCCTGACAGCAGAGTGACCTCGTGGGACCCACCGCCTTGGTTGGGGGGCTGGATCTGCAGCTCTGCCCCATGCTAGAATCATGGGAGGCTAAGACCCATGGGAGGGTCACAAGGCTCATTGAATCCAATCCCCTGCCATGCTGGCAAAATCACATCTCCCCACTCCGAGACCGTCTACCTCCGACCCCCCCAGGACCCACAGCCTGGCTCCCCCCATGGCAGTCGGGAAACAGGTGGCTCTTGAAACTGGGGGAGGCTGCTGGGGGCCAGCGGAGTCCTCTTTGGTGCCATGTTACCAGGAGACCCTTTTTCTTCCTGCCCTTTGGCCCTGGGTCACTGAGAATCACAGAATTGTAGATTTGGAAGGCACCCCAGAGTCATCTAGTCCACCCCCGCAAGTGTAGGAGGTGTGGGCAATTGCACGAAGAGAAGTAAAAGGGGTGGGCGGGCGCAGGAGTCAGGACCTGGGCTGCCAAATGGTTGGCGGGGGAGCCTGGTGCCTGGTGGGCGGTGGGGATGCCATCCTGGTCTGGCTGCCTTTGAGCAGCTGAGCAAAAACTGGCCCCCGCTGGCCCCTCCCCAACAGCTGCCTTTCCTGCAGCTGGCCGGTTGCCAGCCTGGCTCCCCTGGGTGCTCAGCCAGCTCCTTGCCATGGGTGGTGGTGGGGGGGAAGGTGGCATCTCTGCCCCTCCCTGCCCGTTCCCTGCTTTCCCCCAAACTCTCCCGGCTCATGCCGGGCAGCGGGCAGCTATTTATAGCGGCTTCAGCAGAGTTCATCAGAAAGATCTTTATTTTGATCTGACGAGTTAACAAGCAGCTGGTGCTTCTCTGAGCTGGTGAGACAAACAGGCAGCAAAGATCCTTGGATCTCGCCCAGCGCCAGGCACAGCCTCATCCTGCCCCCCTGCAGCAGCTGTGGCCAAGAGATGCGGGGGGGGGGGAGGGATTCCCCCTGCAGCTGTCCCCCCCCCTCGCCCGCACTGCTGCTTCCCAATTAAGGGGACTTCCAGACGGGAGCTTAATGTGGCAAGCGAGTCTTTGAGATCCCGCAAATGCTTCACTGGCAACATGTGACACGTGTGTTTTCCAACTTGTTGGATTTCCCCATGGAAAGGGAAGATTGGCATCAAAAGATGGCAAAACACAGACTGTCCTTTTGATGCTAGCGATGCTGTCATGTGGGGTGTACGTGAAAAAGGCCTGAGGGGGCCAGGATTAGGGCCTGCCTGGGGGCACCCTGGGGGCCTGCCCAGGGGGGCCCTCCAAGGCGGCGGCTGCCCCATAGGGGACATTCCCTGCCCCCAAAGATCTCCCGGGTGGATATCCTGCCCCCTTATGCCCCACGATCCTTGGGCGCCATCTCTTCTTTGCTGTGGGGCAGCCAGCTGGTTGGGGGCTCTTTCTTTAGCCGTGGGTCCAGGCCTCCTGCCTTTCTCAATATGCTTCCAAATACCAGTTGTTGGAGACTGGGAGGGGGGGGAGCGTTGGGCTTGTTCCCACATCCACCTTGGGATTCGCCCCCTGCCAAGGGAGTGCTTTGTGGATCTCCTCCTTGGCACAGTTTGCGGGGGTGGGGCTGAGGGAAGGCAGGGGTGTTGGGGCTGGGCGTGGCCCCTTGAGGCTCCTGGGGGCCCACCTGGCCCCCCACTGACATGTTGGGGCTTCCTGCAGGTGTGATCCGGACGGCGGTGGCCAACCTGGACCGGGAGACGCAAGACCGCTATGAGGTGGTGGTCCGGGCAACGGACATGGCCGGGCAGCTGGGAGGCCTCTCTGGGTCCACCACCGTCACCATCGTCATCACAGACGTCAACGACAACCCCCCACGCTTCCCCCAGAGTGAGCTTGGGCTGCGGGGTGGACGGGGGGAGGGTGGCAGCAGCTGGCAGCTCCTTTGTGGGGGGCAGCTGTCCAGTCAGAGCTGGGTGCCCCACTTGGGCTGCCTTGGCAGTGGGTTGCTGGACCAGGCAGCGGGATGGGCCCTGCCAGCTGAGCACTGAGGCCACGTTGCCTGTGCCATGCACACTCTCCCGGTGCCAGGCTGAGGTGCCCCTGCTTTTAGGGTGCAGGCTCCATGCAAGCTGTGAAGGGTGTGTGTGCCCCCAAAAACTCTGGTGTGGGGTAGGCAGATTTACACAGGACTCCCCCCCCCCATGAGAGATTCCCTTTCCCGAAATTTCAGAACCACTGACTTGATGACAAATGCAAATCCAGGATTAGGCGAGCTGGGCCGTTTGGCAGTTTTAGCTTTATAAATTATGAATAAAATGCAATGGGATCTCTTTGCAGGGCATTAGAACATTATCCCTCCCCAATTTTTTTTTTTTACAGAAAACTTCCAAGTTCTTTTTTTTCTAGAAAATCCACATCACTGCTTTTTATTATTGTTTCCCCCCCCCTTAAATGGAAGTTTATTAAGGTAAAGAAAAAAACAAAGAGAGAATATATGGGGTGAGGGAATGAAACACACGTTATCAACTCTGAGCACATTGGCAATGCAAGAAGCATCAATGCATCCACCCAAGATGGACATACAACATCCAAATGTCTAAAATGATGTCCAGGTGAAAGTGGAGTTTACAAAAAAACAACAACAAAAAACGGGTGCAGATGTAGTCAGGACATTCAGGTCCTCAGACCACTGCCCGGCAGACAGCGAGTATTAATCCTTCCAGTTGCTTTGTGACCCAAAGGGCTCCTAAAGTCCACTTTTCTCATCCTGCTGTTAATCCCCAGGTCATGGGGATAGGATTTGAAAATGCACAAACATCCTCAAATATCCAGGATTGCTCCAATACAAAAATGATGCAGACCCAAAGGGGGGAAGTGCCACTGGACCTGCCAACATTACGACAGGGCCAGAGTCCATCCGAATTAGACCGTCCCTAGAGAGACGTTGTGCAATAGACCTGGGAGATCAATTTTTGCAGAATCCCTCTCAGTTTTAAAGCTACGGAAATGTTCCACGTTGATCGGAGGGGTTGTCCCATCCAGAGATCCGTGGTTGAGGTTGTGCCACCCACTCAAACTCCTTGTTCCATCCATGCTTTGAAGATGGGTTCCTTTTGGGGGGATGTGAGAGTGCCGGGGCTCGGAGGCAGCGATGGGGTGGCTCTTAAGCAGGAACCTTCCTCCTCCCGCCCCAGAGATGTACCAGTTCAGTGTGGTGGAGACGGCCCCCGTGGGGACTCTGATCGGGAGGGTGAAGGCCGAGGACTCCGACGTGGGCGAGAACACCGACATGACCTACCAGGTCAAGGACGAGGAGGGGCTGGGGGCTTTCCGGGTGACCACCGACAGCAACACACAGGAAGCCCTCATCTCTGTGCAGAAGGTGAGCCGGGGGGGGGCTCCCCTTCTCCCCTTTGTGGGTGTTGGGGGAAGCTGGGGAGGGTCTGTGGCCACAGCAGGGCCTCGGGGGAGCTGCCGCAGCATTCACAATTCTATACAATTCAGATCCATGCCGTTCTATGGATTCCCTGCCATCCTCTGCTGCCCCCATCAGCAAAGCCCTGCCCAGCCTTGGGGGCTCTTTCCTCCTGCCCCTCCCTTCTCCCCCCTTTCTCCCCCCCCTCCAGTTCTGCTTGGCTGGCAGGCCTCCCTCCGCCTGGGAAACGGGGATCTCGGGACTCGGAGCATGCCAGCCTGCCTGCGGGATTCTGCCTGCCTCCGTCTTCTGAGTGTCTCGCGTTGCGTCAGACTGGGGCCCCCTTCTCCCCCAGGCAGGCAGGAGACTGAGAGCTGCCTGCTGCAGAGCCAGCCCATAGGCCCTTCTCTGGCTTGTCTGCCCTGACAGGCAGCCGCTCTCTGGGGTTGCCCTTCCCAGCCTTGCCAGGCGACGCTGCCAGGCGGGTGCACCTGGGTCCCTCTGCTTGCAAGGCAGCTGCTCCCCACAGAGCTCTGCCCCCTAAAACATAGAGCTGCTTATCGGGGCCTCTTTGCAGAACTGGCCCCAGAGGACCCGGCTGGGCACTGCCCCCCTTGAAGGGGTCAGCTCCTTCCTCCAGCCTTTTGCAAGAGGGAGATGCCCCTGGCTCTCACCTGGCTCTCAACCTCGGGTGGCCAAGGGGTGGGGCAGGGCTTGGGGGGAGCCTGGATGGTGTCAGCCCACTGCTCACCCCACAAAAACCCCTCTTTCCTCTGCAGCCTCTGGACTTTGAGGCCCAGAGTGTGCAGACAGTGGTGGTCGAGGCCCTGAACAAGTTTGCGGACCCCCGCTTTGTGGACCTGGGCACCTTCCGGGACCAGACCATCGTGCGCGTCTCCGTGTTGGATGTGGACGAGCCCCCTGAGTTCCAGCCCCCCGACGGCCTGATGGAGGTGCAGGAGGACGCGGCGGTGGGCTCCTTTGTGGGCATGGTCACCGCCCTGGACCCCGACGTGGCAAACAGACCCGTCCGGTAAGGAGGGCTTCCTCTCCTCCGTCCAGGAAATGGGCGCGTGGTGCCGGGAGAGGGAGGAAGTAGGGCAGGAAGGGGGGCGGTTGCAAAGGCAAGTGGGGTGCATGGGCAGCTGAGGTGGGAGACCCCAAGGGCACAAGAAGGGGGAAGGGGCAAGAAGGTTCTGGGCACCTAAGCCTGGGAGGAGGCAGAGAAGGAGGGATCCGGAATCTGCAAGGCGGCCGTGGGCTTCATGTCGCACAAAACTCGGCTTTTGAGGAGAGGTTTTTGCAAAGGCCTTTGGCAAGAAATAAGTTTTGAGGTTTGTGAGATGAACCAAAAGGCGAGGTCTTTGCCCAACTTAGGGGGGTGGGAGTGGAAGGGCTTCTGTGTAGTTTGTGGATCTTTTCCTTTTTGCACATATCACACACATGCGCATCTTGAACCACTTCCTTGCCTTTTCATGCACATTCCTGAAAATCTCCTGGTTGTGCAATCGGTGCTTGATTATATATCCCAGTTGCTGAGTTTCTGCTTTGAGTGGCACCTCTGTTTGTGTCTCAGGAGAGGCAAAGGGGTCTGGGGATGGGGCAGAGGGGTCCAGCAGAAGTGGGCCATGCAAAGTCAGCTGGCTGTCACTCAGAATGGGTGGGCTCTGGGTGCCAGAGGAATGCCAGAAGCATGAAGGGAGACGAGGTGCAGGGGTTCTGGGGGGCGGGCAGGCCCAGCTGCTCTGCTCCGGTTCTGGGGCTCAACCAGGATTGGCCCAGCGGAGCCCGGGGGCCTCTGATGCACCACAGGTGGGCAAAGAGGGCAGATCAGCAGGGCCTGTGCCGGGTGCGCCCCCTCCCCATCAACTCTAAGTGACGGGGGCCGCTGGAGAGAAGCCTTTCCTCTCTTCTCTGGGAAGATGGTGGACTCCCCTTCCTCGGAGGTTCTTAAGCCGAGGTCGGATGGCCGCCTGCCAGGGATGCTTCAGCTGTGATTCGCTGGGAGGAAAGACAGGCCTCCGCTCTTTCTCTGCCCAGCACAGCGCCCTCCCGGCTTCCTCCCCGCCTGCGCCCGCTGGAGCCCCTCTGCTGCTTCCCCCCGGCTGCGATGCAGAGCTGCAGGCTGGCACTCTGTAGAGACGCTGTTGCTCCTTGCCACTCGCTGGCGCCGCAGACATGTGTTGGGCACAGGCGGTTTGCAGACTCCCGCGACGCCCGAGAGCGTCAACCTGCTCCGGCACAAAGGCGGCAGGCAGGGAAAACAAACACCACAAAGAGCTTTTCACACCGCGCTTGAAAAGCTTCCCAGAGCCCAGCAGCAGCCGCAGCAGCAATGCACATGCCAGGATGCCAGGATGAGCCCCTCGCTCGGCTGCCGCCGCTGCCTTTGGGGGTGGCAAGGAAGGGCTGAGACAGGCGAGTGCCAAGGAAACCGCCAAAGCGCAGGAGAGGGAGGAGGAGAAGCCGCTCTCTGCTCTGCCCAGCCAAACAACAGGCGATGCCGTTGGGAGGAGGAGGAGGAGGAGAGGGAAGCTGGCAACACCAGCAGCATCCCAAGCAGGGGCTTCTTGCTCTGGCTGCCTCAAAGCCCCCCCCCCCAGGAACCAGCTAGGCATGGGGTGGGGGGCAGATCTGCTGCCTTTGGTGATGGGGGCACACATTGGTTTAGCTGGTGCAGGGAAGGGATGGGCAGGGCAGGGAAGGCCTTGTTGGAGGGCGCTGCTGGGGGGGCAACTGGGACACATGAGGGCTGAGAGAGCTCCCCCTTGCCAGGGGGCTGGGCTCTGGCGGGGGCAGAGAAGGGCATCCTTTTCTTTTTGTGTATCACTGATGCTGCTTTCATGCAGCATGCAAAACGTAATAAGGCCGTCGGGAAAGCTTCCGTCAAAACACCCCGGAGCATCTGTAGCTATTCTGGACCTGCAGGTGACATGTCTGCCTCTGCTGAGCTCTGCCTTGCCGGGGGTTGGACTAGATGACCCCTGGGGGTCTCTCCCAGCTCAACAATTCTGTGAGTCTGTGAATCCTCAATTTGGGAGGGTTGGCAAGACTGAGAAAGAAGTGAGGGGGCTTCTTTCTACGTGGTTTGGCAGCAGTGAGGGAAATGCACTCTGCACATGCTCAGCCCCGGCATGAAGTGGGAACTGGGGTTCTGCGGCTCTGTGGGAGGCCTTCAGGCTGAACCGTGACTGGAAGCAGCTCCTGGGGCCGACCCCTGGGGGCCTTGGCTTGGGCCAGGGTCTGCTCCTGTGCCCTCTTCCCTCCGAGGCAGGATCAAGCCCTGCGCTGGGGGCAGAGCGGCTGAGGCCAAGGTCCCCTCCGGACAGGCCCACCCTTTCCTCGCCACCTTCGGCCGGCAGCAGCGTCTGAGACCCCCCGGGCAGCAGCCCCCGTGCAAACACGCCATTGCAGGCAGCAGCAGCAAAGCAATTTGGCTTGTTTCATAGCCGGATAAAAGACGATAAATCCCCCAGAGACAAACCAGACCTGATTGAAAATAATCTTGCCAGCCAGGCAATTAGGAGGGCGAGCGGAGAGGCGAGGGGGCCGTGACCTGCCGCCTCTGGCCTGGCACCGCTGGCGCAGCATCTCCCAGCAGCCGTGCCGGATGCCGCCTGGCGTTTGCTCCCCCGCCACCCTGGAGGTGGGGCTGCCCTCCTCGGCTGCTTGTGGGGGGCAGAGGGAGGGGGCAGCCGTGGGGGCAAAAGGAGGGCCAAGGGGAGGGAGACAAGGCAGCGGGAGAAGCCAGAAACTCCTAGTAGAGCTTGGCTTGCGGGTGGCAGAGGGCAGCTGGGCAGAGGGCACCCTCGGGGGCTGCTGCCGGGAGGTCAGGCCTGGCACATCCAGGAGGGTGGCTGTGCCATCACCTCCATCGCAGAATCCAGGGGGCGACTCCAGTAAGCAGCAGGTGCTGGGCACACATGGGGCATGCGCAGGGCAGCAGCTTCCCCTTTTGCCCCCGTCGGGGATCTATCCTGGCCGGGGCAGAAGGCACAGCCCAGGAACAGAGAGGAAGCGTCTGGCTGAAGGTGCGTCCCAGGAGGCCCTCGGCTTCCGTTGGTGGGAATCATAGTTGGAAGGGACCCCAAGGGTCGCCCAGTCCAGCTCCCTGCATTGCAGGGGAAGCCCCTCCAGCGCTATGGGGCTCTCGCAAGGCTCTTCTTTCCCGGGGAGGGGGGCACTTGTGGGTCTTTCCTCTCTCCCAGGGGGACGTAACACTCTGCAGTTGTCCCTTCCCTCCCCGCCTGGCCTTTCTCTCTGTCAAGGTCGTTTGGAACCTGTATCCTCCTGTCCTCTGCAATATTTACAGTTCCTCCCGGCTTGTGTCATCCTCTGCGGATTTGACGAGGGCCCCTCGCTCGGCGCTCCTCCATCCGAGTCATTAACTTTATTGCAGAGGAAAAAGGAGGCAGCACAGTGGCGCAGGCAGATGCCCGGCCGGCCTGGCGGGGGACCGGAGGGGCTGTGCAGGGTGCGGCTGGGGCTGCTTCAGGAACCCCTGGCCGGTGGGGGTGCGGCTTTTTCTGGGAACGCATCCACAGCATGGATCCGGACGGAGGTGCAGAAGCCTCCAAGGCCTGGCAGTCTGGCTTCCTTGGTGTCAAGGGAAGTAATAGTGCCACTGTATTCTGCTCTGGTCAGACCTCACCTGGAGTACTGTGTCCAGTTCTGGGCACCACAGTTCAAGAAGGACACTGACAAACTGGAACGTGTCCAGAGCAGGGCAACCAAAATGGTCAAAGGCCTGGAAACGATGCCTTATGAGGAACGGCTAAGGGAGCTGGGCATGTTTAGCCTGGAGAAGAGGAGGTTAAGGGGTGATATGATAGCCATGTTCAAATATATAAAAGGATGTCACATAGAGGAGGGAGAAAGGTTGTTTTCTGCTGCTCCAGAGAAGCGGACACGGAGCAATGGATCCAAACTACAAGAAAGAAGATTCCACCTAAACATTAGGAAGAACTTCCTGACAGTAAGAGCTGTTTGACAGTGGAATTTGCTGCCAAGGAGTGTGGTGGAGTCTCCTTCTTTGGAGGTCTTTAAGCAGAGGCTTGACAACCATATGTCAGGAGTGCTCTGATGGTGTTTCCTGCTTGGCAGGGGGTTGGACTCGATGGCCCTTGTGGTCTCTTCCAACTCTATGATTCTATGATTCTATCTTCCTTCTGCTCTTCGCTGGGCCAGTCGCCTCACATCCCTGGCACAGAAGCCAGACCAGGATGCCCGTGACCCCTCTAGTCCAGCATCCTGTTGTCCCAGTGGCCAAACAGATGCCCATTGTAGGAACTCTGCAAACAGCTCCTGAGCCCCAGAGCAACTCTCCTCTCCTGCGGATTCCAGCGACTGGCATTCAGAAACCTGGCTGCCTCCGACTGTGGAGGCAGAGCGGTGCCATCCTGACTAGGAGCCGTCCAGAGTGCGCCCCCCCCAAAAGCTTCCTGCCTGTTGGGGGGGTGTGTGAAACAACAACAACAACAAACCTGTGGTTACGTGAAACATACTCAATAAACACACAGGATTTCAATGGAAGTCTCATAAAGTTCAACGAACAAAGCAGGAGACCCCGTGGATCAGTTCATTCTCTAGTCAGTTCATGCACCACTGCTATGCTATAAGATCCACTATCCTGTAACATTACATATGAGCCTGGACTACTGATGAAGCCTAGGATGGCGAAACAAGGCTGATATTCCGGAAATCCTTGTCTTAGACTCTGTGACAGGATTCTGTGGAACTGTAACAACCCTTTGTGTGGATTATTGGACTCTATGAACAGACAGGTGGAATAGATACTTATACATGGGTGGACCTTATGCATGAACGGACTAGAGAATGAACTGATCCACTGGGTCTTCTGCTTTTTCCGTTGAACTTTATGAGACTTCCGTTGAAATCTACAATTTGATACAATGAATATTATACCTTATTTATTCAAAAGTACAGCCGGTTGCGTCTTGTGTTGGTGGGGTGAGTCAGCGCCCGGGGGGGCCTAGCCCCCCCTGCCTTTACAGGGGCTGGAGTCCAATGTCAGATGTGTGCAGTTCCTTCTTGATTCCACATGCCAGGAGAGTTTGTGTGGAATGTGCCACTTGGAGTACCCTCTGAGCCGCCTCTATGGCTCTCTGATCTGAGGAGGGTGATCTTCCTTCTCCGGGTTCTTGCTCTGACATGGTGTCTTCTCCGTGAACGAATGAATGTTGGCAAGTTGTGGCGCCCGTCTGAAAGTGGCAGTGAATGAGAGCTGGTGTGGGATGGGCATGCCGGTCTGTTGGCTGGGCAGGTTCTGTGCATTAAACACCTTTTGCAGCATCTATTGACAAGTTTCCTTTAATGGCTAAATTAAAAGGAGCAGGTTTCTAGTCCTCCTTGCGGCTGAAATCACAGAGGAGGAGGAGTTGACCAGTGGCGGAAGAAGCCTGTCTGGCAGCCGGGGCAGGGCGCTGAGGGGTGGGCCGAACCACCCACAGGGGCAGCGCAGCACCCATACGGACGATGCTCAAGTGGCACCCATAGGGATGGCACATGCACGGTGCCCATACCGACGGGGCAAGCATGCCCTCGGCCACCCCATAGCTGGGGGGTAGGCAGCGAGTGGACAGTGCAGACCCTTTGGGTGCTGAGACGCATGGCATGGGTGCGCTGCGGGGCCCACGGTGAGTGCCGCCTGCCATTTCATCACCCCTCCTCAGGATGACACCGGGGCGGGCTTCACCCCCCGCACCCCCTTCCTACCCCCCTGGGGTTGACATCAGGGTCCCAAGAGCTCCGTTGCCGCATGTGCCAGCCTTCCACCCCTCCCTTGCATCCTCCTCACAGCTCCCTTTCCCACCTGGTGCCCAGGTACGCCATCGACCGCAGCACCGACCTGGAGCAGATCTTTGACATCGACCCGCTGACCGGCGCCATTGTGACCAGCAAGGTGCTGGACCGGGAGACAGCCGGCTGGCACAACATCACCATCTTGGCCATGGAAGCAGGTGAGTCCCGGGGGGGCGGGGAGGCGGGCAGGATGGAGTCAGCCCAGAGGGGGCCAAGAAGAAGGAGAAGAGCCCTGAGGTGGAGGAGGCCAAAGGGGCTTGTCTGGACCTGAAGCAGCCCTCCCAGGTGCCAGTGGGAAGCAGGAAGGGGCAAGCCAGCAGGAATATTAATCTGAGCTGGGATGGGCAGGTGGGCAGTGCTTCTGCCTCCGCTGCCACGCCTGACGTGGGGCCTCCTGGGGAGCTACATTCCCCCCCACCTCCCTGCCTGTCTCTGGGGCTGGCGCCTCAGGCCCCCTTTTGATGCCCCCGGAGGAAGGCAAAGCCAAAACCTCACGGCTGCGGCAGCAAAGGGGGAGGGGGCAGGATTGGGAGGGAGGGAGGGGGCAAAGGAGAAGCAACACCCCCTGCCCCAAGCCCTTTTGGGGGCTTCCAGGGGGATTATTAGCGTCCCACCTTTCGCTTTTGAAGGAGATCAAGCACCTTTCTGATGGTGAGAGATGTTGGCAGCGAGACGGACTCCGGGAAGGTGGCGGGTTCTCCTCCATTGGAGGTTTCTAAGCAGGGTTCAGGTGGCCCCCTGTGATTCCTGCAATGCCGGGGGTTGGACTAGATGACCCTGAGGGGCCCTTCCAACTTCTTCTTTTTTTTTAAAAAAAAGATATTTATTAGAGTTTCCAACTTCTAAAGCCATCCAACTTGATGGCCATCGCAGCCTCCTTCGTTTCATGATGTGCTGCGTGAAGAAGTTCAGCTAAAAGAGGGCAAAGGCTGCTTTCCTCGCTGCCGCAGTTGCAAGATCTTGTCCATGAGACCCTGCACAGTGCACCGGTGGAAGGGCAGGCGCCCCTCTTTCTGCAGCCCCTGGAGTTACCCTGGGCGGAGGGCTCCCCTGGGCTCTGCTTGTGGGGTGCCCACTCTGGGCTCCCCTCCCCTCCCCACACTCCCCTCCCTCCCTCTCCCACCCACTTCACACATAGCCTCTCCCCCCCCCCCCAATTTCTCTGCAAAGCAGCCTGGTCCTTGGCAGGCAGGCAGGCGTGAAAGATGGTATTTTTGGGAGCCCTGCAGGAGGCGGCTGTAGCTGGGGAGGAGGCCGAGGTTCAGCACCAAGCAGATGGTGGGGGAGAGTCTCGGCTCCAGCCCCCCCCAACCCACCCCCACCAGCGGGCGCCGCTTTTGGCGGGGGTCCTGTGAGGACCTCGGCTCTTGCGCTCCTGCCTGCTACCCCCTCCTCCCTGGTCCTCCTCGGCTGTCTATATATTTTTGGGGAGGGGGGCTGCTCTGTTCCATCTCTGCCGCTCTCCCCAAAGAGGAAGCCCAACAGCTTGAATGCTGCTTCCCCAAACTTCAAACAAGGCCGGCAGGAAACAAAGGCAGGCTCCCAGCAGCCGCCGCCTTTGATGCCTCCGTCGGCTGGGTCTCGGGGGTCTGGGCAAGCGGATTTCGGGAAGGGCCCTGAGACAGATTCCTTTCCTCCTCCTCCTCCTCGCCCCCTTCCCACTCCTGGCAGAGCGGCTGGCTGGCTCTGCTCTGCCAAAGGAAATCTCTTGGGGTGGGAGGGAGGGGAGAGGAAGGAGTTAGCCGAATAAATAGGAATAAATATGCGTGGCAAGTGCAGGTAGGAAGCAGCACCTGTCTGGAGGGGGAGAGGGAATGCTAATGAGGAGGAGGATGGCAGAGAGGGGCTGCAGAAGAAGATGCAAGAGCGTTTCCTGCATTGTAGGGGTGGGACTAGATGGCCCTTGGGGGGCCCTTCCACCTCAACAGTGCTGGGAGTCGAGTGTCCAAGGGAGCTGCCGCTTCTGGGAAGGCCCTCTGGAGAGGCTGGGCGTGAGGCGTTCCAAACTGCCCTGGGATCTTTGGATAAAGGACTGCGTATAAACTGAGTTATTCTTCGGAATAAGAATGCATCATTTGCAGCTGGATGACTTGAGAAGACTATCCGACAGAGGCACAGAGGAGACCTCTCAGGGCTTCTTGGAGTCCCCAGGGGGCAGGGGCTGCTCTTGCAATGGGGTCCTGGGCCTGCTGCTGCCAGCCCCCCTCCCTCGCCATTCCTGCCCCCTTTCCGGAGAGCAGCGGCTGCTGTGGCTCAAGGCCTCTTCCTTCCCAGCCCTGCCCGTCTCCTCTGCCTCAGTAAAGATCTCTCCCTTCATCGGAAATGTCCGTCCTTGCGGTCTGGGCCAGAGTTAGGCCCTTGCATGTTTGGAGGTCTTGCAATTACAGTGGTACCTCTGGATGCGAACGGAATCCGTTCCTGAGCCCCGTTCACATCCTGCAGTGAAGACAACCCGCGCCCGCGTGTCTGCACATGCGCGAGTCGTGATTTGCCGCTTCCGCACATGCGTGTGACGTCATTTTGAGCGCCTGCGCATGCGTGAGCCGCGAAACCCGGAAGTAACGCCCTCTGTTACATCTGGGTCGCCACAAAGCATGACCCAAAAAGGCTTAACCTGAAGGGACTTCAACCCGAGGTATGACTGTACCTTCCAGAGTAGAAATGTTTCCAGAATTCCCGGTCTCTGCCAGACCCCTAATGGACTGTGTTCTTCACAGCCAGCCCCATGGCAGGGATGTGGGGTTCAGAACTGTTCAGTAGGTCCAGTTGGTTTGCAGGGGGCCTGTGGGGGGCAGTGCCATGGGGGGGGGACTTGGCGCACATGCGCCTCTCCTGCATTGAAGGAGGGTTGACTAGATGACTCCTAGGATCCCTTCCGACCCCACAGCCCAATGATCTTCTTGCCCTTGGCAGGGGAAACCAGGGGCTTCTTCCCCCACAGGCCACGGTGCAGAGGGGCTCTGCTGCCCCCCGGCTCCCATTGCTTGGCTGGGGGGGGGGGTCCCTCTCTCCGCCCGCAAATACAAGGCGACAGGAATCAGAAGGGCCGTCTCTCCCCGCAACAGCTCCCATTTCCAGACCAGTCAGCAGCCCCCGGCGGACGAAGGGGCCTGTCAGGGCGCATTAGTGCCAGTGCTGGGCGGGCGCCTTCCCCGCTGACTCCCCTCTCCCTCCGTCAGGAAGTTCTGACTCATCCATTTTAACTGTCCAGACGCTCCTGCCAGGGACATTATCCGGAGCGCTTTGTAATCATGAAATATTAATGGCGGATATTGAATTTAAAGCGCCATTTATGTCGGGATCCTTTGCTGGAAAGGGCAGTTGTAAAGGGGCGGCCTTCAAAGTGGGAGGGGCGGGGAGAGAGGGAGAAAGAGAGAGGGAAGGAGAGAGAGAGAGAGAGAGGTGGGGGGAGAGTCAGCATCTCCCACCCGGGGACCCAACTGCTTTGTGGGCCTCTTGCAAAGGGCTTTTGCCCTAAGCTGGAATGTGACCCCTCCCTCCCTCCCTCCCTCTAGGTGCTTCAAGGGCGGGGGGGAGAAGGATGACAATGAATGACGCATATCTTCCCGTAACTGCCCAGGCGCCTCATTCCAGCCCCTGCCCATTACTGCTGGTGGGGGCACTTGCTGCTCTTTGGGTCTCAACCCCACTTTGGTGCAATTCAGACACGCAGAATTGTAGGGTTGGAAGGCACCCCAAGGTCATCCAGTCCAACCCCCGCAATGCAGGTTCTGCAGCTAAAGAACCCCCGCCATAGATGCTCACACTTTCTGCGCCCGCACACCCCCGGCGCTTCTTGGTGGGGCTGGACGCCCAAGGGTGCCTCTTGCCCTCCTCCCCCTGGGGAGGGGACCTGCTTCCTCCCATTTCACAGCCCTGGGAGGCCCCTGCCTCTCCGGTGTCCAGAGACCCCTCCAAATGGGGCCAGGAGCTCCTCTCCCTTCTGGGTTTCCCAGGCTGAACCTCTGCATGTGGGGAGGGTCATGGCCGGCCGGCCAGCGGCTGCCCCATCTCTGGCGCTGGCTTGGCTCTCAATGGCCCCGAGTCACAATGGCCCCACTCTGGCTCCCCAGTCCAATACTTCTGAATCCCAGTGGCTGGAAACTGCCGGATGTGAAAGGGCTGCTCTTGCATAACCTCCAAGTGTCCCGGTTTTCCGGGGATAGTCCCAGAATTACAGAAGCTGTCCTGGTTTCTGATTTGATCCATAGCTGTCAACGTTTCCCTTTTTTAAAGGGAAATTCCCTTATTCCGAATAGGATTCCTCGCAAGAAAAGGGAAAAGTTGACAGCTATGATTTGATCCCAGAATGTCCACGTTTCCCGGTTTCCTCCCCTCCATGTCTCTGAGAACAATCAAAGTGGAGTGTGTGTGTCGGTGCAAAAACAGAGTCCAGTTTATACTGAAAATACAATCCCTGCACCAAGTGAAGGAGACGGGGAGGCCTGCGTAAAAAGCCCCTCATGGAATTTCAAAGGAAAAGGTCACCAATCTGCTTTAAATTCTTTAATTGCAAGGCTTCAGCAGCCAGCCGTCCTCAGAAACACCTGGAGTTTTTGTTCCTTTCTTGTAAGTGGAGCCTGATGCTGTCTACTCGGAAGTAAGTCCCACTGTAGTCAATGGAGCTTACTCCCAGGTAACTGGGTAAAGACTGGGCAGCCTTTTGCTGCCATCCAAAGCAGTTCAATAGGATTTACTGCCTGGTATGTTCCTGACCATTCTCACAGATTCCATTACTATTACTATTACTATGAGGTAAAGGTAAAGGTACCCCTGCCCGTACGGGCCAGTCGTGTCCGACTCTGGGGTTGTGCGCCCATCTCACTTAAGAGGCCGGGGGCCAGTGCCATCTGGGTCACTTCCGGGTCACTTCCGGGTCACGTGGCCAGCGTGACGAAGCTGCTCTGGCGAGCCAGCACCAGCGCAGCACACGGAAATGCCGTTTACCTTCCCGCTATAAAGCGGTCCCTATTTATCTACTTGCACTTAGGGGTGCTTTTAAACTGCTAGGTGGGCAGGAGCTGGGACCGAAAGACGGGAGCTCACCCCGCCGCGGGGATCCGAACCGCCGACCATGCAATCGGCAAGCCCTAGGCGCTGAGGTTTTACCCACAGCGCCACCCGCGTCCCTACTATTACTTATTACTATTACTATTATTATTACTGTTCCCCCACCTTTTTCCCTGACAGGGACTCAAGGCATCTTACAGCTTTTTTCTTTCTTTCATTCCATTTATTGTTTCCCTCGACCTCCAGGTATAGGGCAGGATATAAATTCAATAAATAAATGAGATATTTTTTCTCCTTACAACAACCCTGTGAGGTAGGTGAGGCAGAGAGGTTGGCTCAAGGCGGCAGGTGTAGGTGGGTCAAGATCCAGCAAGGGAGAAGCTTCCTGGTGCAGACCAGGACGCCCCTCTTTTCACTGGAGAAATGTTGGCGGGCATGTGGCTCTTGTGCCGTCATTCTGTTGCTGGCCTCCCTGATGGGCACCCGGTTGGCCGCCGTGAGAGCAGGATGCCTGGCCTGATCCGGCGCGCTTTGCCTTCTGCTCTGGCTTGGTCTCTTTGGGCAGCCGAGAGCATTTTCTCGGGGATGCGCAGGGCCGGGCGCGGCATGAAGGGGCCTGTTGAGCCCGGAGAGCCTCTTGGAGTGTTTGTGCAAATAAATCTTCATCTCCCGCACAAGCTGTTTACCTTCCTTGGGCTAATATTAGGGATTCTCTCCCTGTTTTCTCCGGCGCTCATGTAAAATGATGGGCCCTTGACTGCTGTGTCCACTGCTGGTAATTGAGATGATAAATCTTCCTGCCGGAGAACGGCCGTAATCGGAGACGGAGCTGGACCGCTCCTTAATTACCCTCCTGCCGCTGAGCCGGGGCAGCGCAAGGGGAGGGGAGGGGGCCAGAGGGAGGGGAGCCCCTCTTTCCGAGGGAGATTCCTCCCCGGCAAAGGCTCACCTGCGCCAAGGGAGAGGCAGGGGCCAGGATCCAGATGCACCAAGGCCGGTCCAGCCGGTCGCTTTGGTGGCAGGGTGAATGGGGTTAGAAGGATCATGGAATCGGAGGGTTGTAGGGTGGGGAGGGATCCCAGGGGTCATCTAGTCCAACCCCCGGCCATGAAGGAACTCGGCTAAAGAATCCCTGGAAGATGGTCATCCAACCTCCACGTAGAAACCTCAGTCAAATGATAGAATAATGGGGCAGGAAAGGGACCCCCAGGGCTCACCTTGTGGGGAGTAACTTCCATCAGATGTCAAACAGATAAAACTTGTGTGACTTTTGGAAGACATCTGAAGGCAGCCCTGTAGGGGGAAGTTTTTGAGGGTTGGTATTTTGTGGTGTTTTATATTTTGCTGGAAGCCGCCCAGAATGGCTGGGGGAACCCAGTCAGATGGACAGCATATAAATGATAAAAATGTTGTTGTTGTTGTTCATGTGGGAGGTTCCTTTTAAACCAACCGGGCTTTCTCCTTAATCCTCGACTTTGGTCATCTGTTTGACTTTGATTCATACACTGATTCTTCTCTTTCTTTGGCGATCCCTCGTAGCCGAGTAAGATTGTCTTCCATGAACACGGCCTTAACAGTGAGTCCATTAGTAACTGTGGAGGCCAATTCTGGATCCACACATCCTTCCACAGTGGGGACATTGGTTTCTGGGCGGGAGTTGATCACAGTGAGGGTTTTTCCAAGTGTGCCTTCCTCCTAGCATGTTTCTCCCTTGCGTCCTGAGTTCGAGTGTCTCCAAAGCCCGTGACACCTTTGGTCAAGGCTGTTCTCCAACTGGAGCGCTCACAGGCCAGTGTTTCCCAGTTGTCAGTGTTTATACTACATTTTTTAGATTTGCCTTGAGACAGCCTTTAAACCTCTTTTGTTGACCACCAGCATTACGCTTTCCATTTTTAAGTTTGGAATAGAGTAGTTGCTTTGGAAGACAATCATCGGGCATCCGCACAACATGACCAGTCAAACGAAGCTGATGTTGAAGAATCATTGCTTCCACACTGGTGATCTTTGCTTTACCTTTTACGCTCCTGATAGAGGGTGGTTGGCTGTGGGTCAGGGATGCTCCCGCTGTGACCCCAGAGGGGCCGGGCTGGGGGGTCCCACCAACTGTGCAATTCTGGGAGTGGGGTGGGATTCTGTGCCGGAATGCATCCCCCATGGATCGCCTCTCCTTGTCAGAGAGGGGATGCCTTGCCAGCTTCCCCTTGCTGCCCCATTGGATGTGGGGAGTCCCTCCCTCCCTCCCTCCCTCTGCTTCCTTCCCCGCTTGTCAGGGGCTGCAGAGGGACTTCTGGCTTCCTGGCACATCCCCTCCTGCCGGTGCCCCTCCTCACGGGCAGCTGACGCGGTCGGATCCTTCTGGATGAGGCCGGCAGGTGCCCACGGCAGGAGCCTGCAGCCCCCCCCGGCTGGGAGTCCCATCCTGCTTCTCCGTGCCCCCCAGCTCCCCTTCCCACCTGCCTCCCCCCACACCCAACGGCGCTTTCAGATTAATGGCATTCCGACTCCTGGAGGAAATGCGGTGAAAAAACCGGCATGTTTAATTTTAATTTAGGAAAGCATTTAGGTAGCGGAGCCTCGTTTCCTCGCTGCTGTCAATCACGTTTTCTCAAGGCTGACATCAATTAGTTTAAAAATATTGAATGTAATTTTGCCTGACACAACATATTGCAGCCACTGCAAAATATAATTTATTTTAGAAGAAGAAATAATTAAACTAATTTGCATGTCAGTCAGCCGGGTTGGGATGCTGGGGGGGGAGGGGCCGGTGGAGATGATGGATCCTCCGGGGAGGGGGAGGGGAGCCGCCTTGCCCCCCTCCCTCCTTGCGACCCCCCCTGGGCTGACTGTGGAGCCCCTTTGGCCTTGGGGTCCCAGCCCTGCGCCTCACAGCAGCCTCTTGCCACAGGTGCCAGCGGAGGGGCTGGCAGGGGCTGGGGGGCAGCAGGGCAGGAGCTGGCAGAGGAGAGGCAGCGGGAAGATGCCCCCCAGGAGGGGCTAGGATGGCTTTGCTCCAAGACATTCAGGAGAAGGGGAGCAAGAGAGGCTGTTGGAGGAGGAATTGGGGGGGGCTCAAGCTAGGAGGCATGCCCCCCTCCTTTCTATTTTATTCTTATTTTTTATTTGCTTTTTTCAAATACAGAGACAGAAAAGACAATACATCCCACGTCCCCTTCCCTCCCCCCTCTGGTTGCACAACTTTCATATTCCTCTCGACTAAATACCTGGTGACTTCCCTCCCACCCTATTCCTGGTTTCTTTATTTTTCTATTAAATCACGTGTTCCAAATTCTTCGTCTTCAAAGTTCTTTGCCTGTTAAATTCTGTTATAAACCACCAGAATGCCTATATCACGCAAATCCAATTGAAAACACACGTAAACGTAATAGGCCACATAGTAACAATCACAAAGTTATTTACTAGAACTACAGAAAAATACAAAAGAGATGAAGAAATTAGTAAAGAATGTACTACGGCCCTGACTATATAGGACTTGTAGCTTGTACATACTGGACTTGGTGGTCAACCGAAAAGCTACATTTTTATTATATTATGTCACGATGTTGTTTTTGACATTATGGGAAGCGGTATCTAATTTTTGAGAAGTCGTTCTAGTAAATAACTTTGCAATTCTTAATATATGGCCTATTCTGTTAAATTCTGTTAACTTCTGTTCTGCTGGAGTTACAGACCTGCTAGGTTATTTTCTTGTTTATACTGGTTCTTAAAATATTTGATAATCCTTTTCCTCCCCTCCTCCTCTAACCCCCACAAGGACCCTGCCAGGGAGGCTGAGAGGCAGGGACTGGCCCTCAAGGCCCCACCCAGGGAACGGCACAGCCAAGGGGGGATTTGAACTCTGGTCTCCTGGCTTCTAGTCCTCTTCACAAGATGGAGCAAACTTGTTTTCTGCTGCTCTGGAGGGCAGAACTCGAACCCATGGCTTCAAGAAAGGAGATTCCGACTAAACAGAAGAACTTTCTGGCAGTAAGAGCCGTTCTTCCGTGGGATGGAAGGAGGCCGACTCTCCTTCCTTGGAGGTTTTTAAGAAGAGGTTGAATGGCCATCTGTCTTGGATGCTTGAGCTGAAATCGCTGTGTTTCAGGGGGTTGGACTAGATGACCCTTGGGGTCCCTTCCAGTTCTACAGTTCTGTGATTCTATCCGAGGAGACAGGTCACTGGGGGATGCGAGATGAGGGGGAAGCTGCTGTGCCCCTTGTGGGCTCCCCATGGGGGTCTCTGCTTGGCCATTGGGGGACTGGATGGGTCTAATCCACTGGGAATTCTGGGGCCTCCATTCATTTCCATTCTCGGTGACACTTGCTTCCCCTGAGCTAAAAAGGTAAAGGACCCCTGGACGGTTGAGTCCAGTCTTTTTCTTTTTAATAACTTTTAATTAAATTTTACTATTTAATATTCAATACATTTATCATATAAAAAATAAAAATAAAACACAACTCCCCCCCCCCCCCCGTGACTTCCCTCAACTTTCCTTCTGGTTCTTTAACTATTTGCTACTTCTGCTTAATTTTTGTCTTATTTTTCATCTTTAAATTTACTGCTCTTATTTTCTCATCATTTTTGTACCAGAATCATAGAATCATAGAACTGTAGAGTTGGAAGGGACCCTGGGGATCATCTAGTCCAACCTCCTGCAATGCAGGATCCATACAGGGATCGAACCTGCAACCTTGGCATTATCAGCGCCATGGTCTAACCAACTGAGCTATCCAGGCTCATCTTCTTCAAATTACATCTTGCATTTAATTAATTTCCATGTTGTTATTTCTTAACCTTTACTCTTGTTTTCTTAGTTGTAAGTGTTTACTCAAACCCTGCTAATGAGTCCATTTCTTTACAATATTTCTGTAAATACAGCACGAACAGTTCCCATTCTTTTTTAAAGTCTCTATTTTCCTTGTCTCTGAGTCTTCCCATAAGTTTAGCCATTTCTGCAGAATCCATCAGTTTTGCTTGCCATTCTTCTTTCATTGGTATCTTGTTGTCTTTCCACTTTGGGGCTAGTAAAACCCTAGCCGCTGCTGTCGCATACATGAAGAACTTCTTCTGCCCTTTTGGTAATTCCTGGCCTATAATACCTAACAAGAAAGCTTCTGATTTTTCAACCAAGGTTATTTTAAACATCTTTTTCAATTCGTTATACATCATTTCTCAATAATTTTGGGAAAGGCTGGCTGAATCCCTTCAAAGGAGAACTATGGGGTCAGCTGTCTCTATTTGCACTGGCGTGCTTTCGAACTGCTAGGTTGGCAGGATCCGGGACAGTGCATGGGGAGCTCACTCTGTCATGTGGATTTGAACTGCTGACCTTCTGATTGGCAAGCCCAAGAGGCTCAGTGGTTTTGACCCCCGTGCCACCCGGGTCCCAAGCTTCCCCTGAACCCCGTTGGCCCTTGTGCCCCCAGCTGGCAGAGATCCTTCCTTGCAACCCGCTTGGGCACCTGGGAACTTGGCCGCCTCCCTCTGGCAGGCAAATGTGCGTTTTTTTAGGGCTGTGGGAAGAAATGGGAGGCGGCTTGTTTGGCTGGTTGAGTTGCTTAATTTGTAACCCTAGTTTTGTCTCCTGAGCCCCAAGATGAGCAAAATGTAAAACCTATTAAGAACATGACGCATTAGTAGGGCAGCCAGGAAATTGCCCCCTGACTCCCGCAGCCCAGACCAACTCCAGCTACAAAAGCTGAGGCTGCTGAGGAAACTCTTTCACCACTGCCTTCTTATGGGGTTTTTTTTTTGGGGGGGGGGTTGCTGTTACTACTATTAATTTTTTGCATCTTTTTTTTGTTATTTTACTGCATCTTTATTTTTAGATCTTACGGCCATTGTTCAATTTGGTTGTGGACTTTTTGACGCGTTTTATTGATTGTTTGTGACGACTTTTGCTGTGTTTGAAATTATGAACCTGTGTTCATGTTGTGAGCCGCCTTGAGCATGGTTTTAAATGTGGAAAGGTAATGCACAGTTAAGGTGAAGGTGACCGAGAGGCTCTCCTTGGGTCTGACTTGGAGCTACAAGGCAAGTGGGGGGGGGGCTGAAAGACCGAGACCCAGAAGCTTGCAGTGGAAACAGAACATGGCAGAGATCCGAGTCAGGGCAGGAGGAGAGGCTCTCGGCGGCATCTCTGGGCCCCCCCCCCGCTCTGAACCCCCTATTAGTTCCACTTCCGGCAGGACCCCCCAGTCCCAACGTGCCAGACATGGAGAGTCCTCCCTTCTCTTCAGTAACTTCACAAATAAGAATTAACGAGCAGTTGATATATTTATAGTCCTTTTATTACGGCATCATGTTGCAAGCACAAATACATAGCTCTCCAATCTTCCTTCCGACTTCAGCAGCATTTTAGGCGCCAATGAGAAGTTCCTCCCTCCCTCTGCCTCCTTTGCTCTCTGATACGTTTGGACCTCCAAGTCCATGGGGGGGGTCCCCCAGGCTCTCAAGAGACGTCACAACTAGCTGCCCCCTCCCTTCCGGCTCCCTTGTCATTATCTCATAACTCGGTAACTCCTCCTAAGCTTTTCAGCTTCTGTTTCTCTCTCTGCTTCTGAACATGCTGTGAGCAAGGGGGGGGGGCTCTTCCGCCTCCAGCTCTCCATCGGAGAGAAGCTGCTCTGCCATAGAATGCACCCCCCAGGCCTCGTCTTCAGACCATTCCCTGGCACACACAGGCTTGGAAATGCTCACGGCACCAAGAGCCAGAGCCTCCATCCTGGGCTGCCCTTTGGGTCTCTGCTTCCCTCCCGCCATTAATAAACCAGCAGCCTGCGTAATCCAGGCAGGGCCTGTTTGCAGGATCAGGTCCAGGGCCCCTGGAGTCCTGCATGCTGCCCACCAGATGCTCCAAAGGAAAGCCCTCATGCGGGACCAGCGCGCATGGCCGCATCTCTCCCTGCTTGTCGTCTGCAGCAACTGGCCCTGAGAGGCACGAGAGCAGAGCAGAAACAGGGTCCCGTCTTCCTCTCTAAATCAGTCCAGTTGGTTGCCATCCCTCAGTCTTGTGGCAAGGAGTTCCAGAGTTATGGCAGTGTGTGAATATATTTTGTCCATCCCGCTGCTTCATCTGACGGCCGCATGGACTTCCGGCATGATGAGAGCAGGAGGCAAACTTTCCCCTGCCAGCCTTGCGTAATTTCACACACCTCTGGTTCTGCCACGTTTTACCAGAGTTTCCACACAAGGGATGTGCTCCCTCCCCGGGATATTTTGGGTGGCCCTTTCCTGGGTACACAATATCCTCGATCAGCTGGTTATTGACCAAAATAAATAAATACAATATCCTTTTGGAGGCGAGGCGGCACAGTCCGCCAAACGTGGTTGCCTCAGAGATTGGTAAAAGGGCATTGCGATGGGGGGAGTTTTATTTTCCTTTCCTAACGCTCCCCATCAGGCAGGGATGGCGGCTCAGGAGTCCCTGGCGGGCGGCCAGGCAATCTCTCTCCCAGAGCCACCAGCCCAGGAGAAGCCACCCGCTTTCTTGGATGATTTTCTGAGATTTCTTGTGAGCTGCGCTTACTTCTGTTGGCTTAAATTTGTGCTGCTTCGTACGTGTTTTTTCTGAGCTGCCTTGTAAGAAAAGGCTTCTTAAAGAAATCTGAGCAGTGGCCAAGAGGAGGGAGGGAGGGAGGGGGCAATGGGCAGCCCCTGCCCCTCCTTCCCAGATCCAGCAGCCCCCCCTCCTGTGCCCACCTGCCCATTTCCTCTGCCCGGATCCAGCCCCTGCCCGGCCCATCCTTGCAGCTCCGTCTCTCCCACTCCTTTCAGTGGAAAAGGGCAGGTGCCAGGCGCTTGATGGATGGCGCTGGCCCCTCCGCCGGGACCCTCCCCTCTAATCAGCAAAATGGCAGCCGCGGCAGAGCGAGCTGGAAGAGGGAGGTCTTTGAAGGCCGGCTCTGGCTGGCGTGATGCCCCTTTGCCCCCGTCCCCCAGGCCTTTGGGCAACGGCGGTTCCTTGCAAACTTATCAGCAAAGAGGCAGATGTTGGAGGCCAGCAAGGCAGAGCCAGGCTAGCTGGCCAGCCTGCGGGTGGCATTGCCAAAGAGTCGGGGATTGGCAGAGCCCCCTCCCTGGCTAGGCTGCTGCTGGGGCTGCACTTCCTGGGGGGTCTCCTGCTCACGGCTGCATCCCAGAATGTCGGCCCCTCTCCCTGCTGCAAAGGGCTCCCAGAAATGGCTGCTGGTGGATCAGCACATCCTGCCCTTCCCAGCAGCCAACCGGGTGCCCCGTGGGCAGGATGGGGTGCAAGGCCAGCCCCTTCCCCAGCGACTGGCCTTCATGGCATGCTCAGAGGCTGACTAAAGCTGCTTTTAGCCTCAATTTCCTGGATTTATGGTGATATGAGAGTGGGGCAGGGAAGTCAATGGGCAAGGCTTCCTCACCCCTGTGGTGCCCGTATGCCCTCTCCCATGGGTTCTCTCATCAAAGTGCCCTGAGGTGGAGGTCATGGTCTCTCTTGGGCATTGGCAGAGCTGAGCAGGGAGAGATGCCCCTCCTTGCCCGCCTCTCTCCAGCAGACGCTCTCTGCCACAGAGGAGGGAGACTGGCACAGTGCCCGTCAGCTGGGCTTGCTGCCAGCCCTGGCCAGAGCAATGCTTCTTGGCTAAGGGCACCAGCTCCGGGAGTCAGAGGTGGGGGGTGTCTGTGCCTGCTGGGCAGGGCATCATCCGCGTTGCTCCCATCCTACAAGCAGGGTTGGACACCGTCTCCAGGCTCACAGCAGGCTGGCAAGGGGGAGAGGCAGCCGTGGGGTGGGCTGAGGAGGGGGTGTCTTTGCACCAGGTGGGGCTGGCAGGGACTTACCTGGAGGTGGGCAAGGAGCTTGGGGCTGGCCTGCATTTCTTCAGGGCTGCTGGCCAGAGGGCTTCCTGTGTTTTGGGGCCACTCCCATTTCCCGTGGGTCAGGCTCTGCTCCTTCCCCACGGCCTCCGTCCTCCCAGGCGGCTGCATCAGAGAGACTTTGGCTATGGAGGGGCCTGGTTCCACCTTTGGCTGGGAGATGCTCTTGGGGTGCCAGCAGCCCCCTCTCTGAGCTCCCTGGCATGTGGTGGAACCACTGAATTGTAGAGGTGACAGATTGTGACCACCCCTGGGGCCACCCAGTGTATTATCCTGCCAGGGAAGTGGACAGTTTAGATCAGGGGTCACCAACTGAAGGCCCATGGGCCAGGAGTGGCCCACGGAGGTCATTTGACCAGCCCATGAGCCGCCCCCAAACTCAGCTAGTCGCTCACACGCTGCGCTAAACTGGCGCAGCACGGCACAGGGACTTGCTTCCGCGGCACCGAAAATCGCGTCTGCACACACGCAGGCACCAAATTTCATGGGCGGGTGCAGGATCCAGCCCACGGAGGGATCTTTGTGGGACTGATCCGGCCCAGGCAAGATAAACCTTGCTGACCCCTGGTTTAGATTCTGCCTTAAGTGGGTAGGAATTACGCAGCCACCCGAGGTCACTTTGATGTCCATCAGATTCAATTGTGGTGGACAAAAACTGGTACAGTGGTACCTCGGTTTTCGAACATAATCCACTCCAGAAGTCCGTTTGTGTTCCGAAACATTCAAAAACCCAAAACTGAAATTGGAAGCCTCAAAACGGAAAACTGTTCGACTTCCAAGGCACGTTCGAAAACCAAGGCATTGACTTCTGGGTTTTTGGTGTTCGAGTTCTGAAACGTTCGACTGCGGAGGCGTTCGGAAACCGAGGTACCACTGTATCGGTTTCTTCATGCCTAGGTTGAGAAAACCTTATTGCAGCATCTGCAACACGAGGGACCGGCAGAGGAGCCAGGAAGGTTTCATCTGCGTGGGCTTGAGCAGTTCTTCAGGCGCTGAACAAGTGGCCTTGAAACAATTGTAGCTTACTTGCGAGTAAGCGCGTCTTTAGGGCTCTTAGCATCCGTGCATCCAACGGCAGGGCAGGGTGCGGCTATGCGCCAAGACGTGGTGTCTCCTGGCGGCGCAGGTGGAAGCTGGCAGGGAAGGGAAAGCGGACTTCCGGAGGTGGCCAGGTGAGAGGAATCGGAGCCGGTGGTGGGCGCTGCCAATCAGATGCCGCGCCTGGTTTACCTCAGCGCAGCGCTTGGATGTCTCTGGCAATCAAATGCCACTGAGGTGAAACAAGCGTGGCTGTTGAGTGGCAGAGCGGCTGCTGCCCAGCCTCTTCCTGCCATTGCCATCACCTGGAGTCTTGGCTTTGCGGAGCGGGGCAGATTTATGACCCAGGTGGGCCTGATCCGGCCTGTGGGCCTTAGTTTGCCACCCCCTGCCTCAAACCTCTCAGTCCCCTCTGCCCTTTTCTGTGTTCCAGACAATCACGCGCAGGTGTCCAGGAAGACCCTTCGCATCCGCATCCTGGACGTGAACGACAATCCTCCTGAACTCGCCACGCCTTACGAGGCGGCCGTCTGCGAGGACGCCAAGCCTGGGCAGGTGAGGAGCAGGAGGGGGGCAGCTGGGGGGCAGCCAGGTGAGGGGCTCTGAGCCCACAAGGCAGGCCCTGGACTTGGCAGGGAGACCTCAGGCATGGGCAGGGGGACAGGGCCCATATGGGGCAGGGACAGCCTTGCTGGGCAGAAAGGTCCCCCCAAACCCTGGAAACTCCCCTCCCCTCCCACCTGCTTGCTTTTGCTTAGGGAGGGGCTGGGGGTGTCTTATGTGGCGTATGGCAGCCCTGACCACTGGCTGTGGGGCGCTGTGGTCCAGCAGGAGGAGGGAGGGGTTGGTGCACTGCAATTGGGGTGGGGGCTTTCCTCTCCCCTTTCTGTCTCTCTTTTCTTTCCACATCCCAGCTCCCCAAGCTGCTGGGGTGGCTCAGCGGCTGTCAATCAGCGAAGTCAATCGAAGTCAATCGGGGGTGAAGCCATCACCCCCGCTGGGGAGGCCGTCCTTCCTGTCCTGCCATGCTGGGGGGGGGCACTTTTGGGAGCTGCAGTCTTTGTCTGCCCCTGAGAGGCACCTGTGGCCCCACCTGCCCCAGACCCCCCCACCCCTTGGGTGCAGTTTGAGGGGGAGGGGCTCTTCTAGAATACATATATTTTACTGAGATAATTACAACACATTAAAGTAAGTTTTTAAAAGAAAAGAGAGAGAGAGAATACATAAGAGCAATAAATGTAATTAAGGTTGCAAAGCTGAAATATAAACTTAGTATAGGTTGATTCACGATGGTTTTGACAAATACGTTTGAAACAGCATTAAAGACGTCCGTGGATAATCGTTATCTGGAAGAATGGGCTGTAAGAGTTTTCATATCCATTGATCAAAGGGGGGGGCATATCTGTGTCTTTCCAACGTATCAGGATCGATCTATTTGTGGGGGGGGGGCACTGAGAATCCATTGGCGCTGAGCCAATCCATTGGCGCCCCGAGCTGGGCATGTTGTTTGAGCTGCTCCTCTGAGCGCTGCCCTCCTTCCCTGCAGCTGATCCAGACCATCAGCGTCGTGGACCGGGATGAGCCCCAGAGCGGCCACCGCTTCTACTTCACTCTGGCCCCCGAGGCCTCCTCCAGCCACCACTTCTCCCTGCTGGATATCGAGGGTAAGCCGTGGAGTCAGAGAGCACAGAGGGACCCCCAGGTCATCTGGTCCAGCCCCACCACCTTGCCTCCCCCCCCAGGTAGCTCTTCCGCCTGCTCTCCTGCCCCCGAGGCCGGCAGCCCTGCCCCACGGCCCCCTCCCCACGCATGCCAGCTCCTGCCCCATTCTTGGCGAGCCCCCCCTCTGCCCTGCCCGCCTCCCCTCTGCTCTCTCCTGGGCGCGGTATAAATATCGGCGGTGACAAACGGCCGCCAACGGCCCATCTGTTTCTTTGTACAAATTTGTAGCCAGTTTTGAGATGTGATTTATAAATATTGCTGCTGGAGCCAAGACAAGACACTGATGGATGCCAGCCCAGATGGAGACACAAAGCGCTCACTTAAATCTCCTCCTTTTACATCCTCGGCCGCGGCAGGAAGAGATCTCGGGCGCAAAGCTCCACGCAGCCCTCCCTGCCTGGCCCCGAGATTGCTCCCCGGGGTCAGGCTGGTAGAAGGGGGTGGGTGGGAAAAAGGAGGGCGTCCTGGTTCCTGAGAGGGGCAAGGAAGCTGCTCTTCTCCTGTGATGCCCGCAAGCATTCCTGCCTTGCAGGGGGTTGGGCTGGATGACCTTTGGGGGTCCCTGCCAGCTCTGCAATTCTGTGCATCTAAGCTCCACTGGGACGCATCTGGGTTTGGACTGAGATGCCCACCAAAGTGGGGCAGGGGGACAACTGCTCTCCTTCTGGGCTTGTGAGCTTCCAGGGGCCTCTGACCCCCTCTGTGGCTGCAGGGGCTGCATTTCCTAGCCCAGAGAGTTCTGTGTGTCCCTTCAGCAAAACCTCCCCACAGAGAGCAAGGAAACAGGAACAGGCACAACAGTAAGAAGAAGAAGCAGCCACTGACAAGGAGGATTTCTTTCATATTCATTTATTTATTTCTTAAGATTTATATGCCGCTCAATTGTGGAGGGGAAAAACCCAACCCCCAAGGCGGTTTAGAAAATGATCAAACCCAGAAAGAATGTACAGCAATCGTTTAAAAGAGACAAAAAGTTATACGCATATAAAATTCGCATCCACTTTCTCAGCATCCAAAGAGTTCCTCATGTTTCCAGCTGGCCTTCTGGGATCTGCACAGGCAGAAATCCGACCAAGGAAGCTTTTTCCAGCCCCGCACCTCCCTGATGAATTTCTGCCTGTTGTGCAGGCACTTCGCAGGGTCACATCGTCCCCCACCCACAGCCTGCAAGGGTGGTCCAGCTGCCGCTCTCTGCCCCACCTCAGGGGCAGACTGTGGGTCCATTGGGTCCCACATGTCTGGGGCTTTGACCCTCCAATCTCCCCCCCCCCGCCAATGCCATTGGACCTTTCCCTGGGGAGCTTGAATGGCAGCTAACATCCCATGGGGTGTCCTGTGGGACACACCCACCCCGCCAGCTTGTTTTCTCCTGCTCCGGAGGGCAGGACTCGAACCCATGGCTGCAAGTTGCAAGGAAGGAGATTCCAACACAACATCAGGAAGAACTTTATGCCAGTAAGAGCCATTTGTGGGATGGAAGGAGATGGGCTCTCCTTCCTGGGAGGTTTTTAAGAAGAGGCTGGATGGCTTGGACGCCGGAGCTGAGATCCTTGTGTTTCAGGGGATTAGACTAGATGACTCTTAGGGGCCCCTTCCAACTCTAGCATTCTATGACCCCCCAATCCCAATGGAGGCAGGCTTTGCTGGGCTGCATGGAACAAGTGCAGGGTGCAGGTGGGGGAGATGGGGGAGATGGAGGGCCCCTCCCTAGACCTCCCCCAAAACACACAAGGCAGAGATGAGGCAGGACAGATTGGGGTGGGGGCACATCCCAGAACGGCAGCCCCCACCCTCCCACTTTTGCAATGGGAGAAGAAGGTTTGTCTCCTGCCGGGCTGCTTTTTGCTCTGAAAGATCCTCTGTGTGTGTGTGTGTGTGTTTCTTGGCTGGCTGGTGGCTAATTGGGAGCGACACCGGACGGCTCCTGACTGCAGGCAAAAGGAGCAGATGCAGGAACTCTCTAAAGATCTTGTTAGAAGCAAGGTTTTTTTGGGGGGGGGCAGGAGGAGCTGGCAGCTTCCTGGGGAACCTGACAGCGAAGAGAGGAAGGCGGGAGAGGATCTGCAGAGTCTGTGCCTGCAAGGGGGGGGGGGGGAGAGAACTGACTCTGGCTGGGCTGGCCCCGAGGACGAATCCTGCTGCACCAGCTGCAAAGAGCATCTGACAGCCCTCAGGTGGGGGTGGGGGGGCTACCTGGGGAAGGGGCCGCCTGCCACTCTCCGTCCATCCCATGACCCTCTGCCTCCTTGGATTAGAATCAGTAGAAAAAAGGACAGTCACGGAACTGAGAAATTACACAAAACAAATGAAATACCATGAAAATCCCTGAAACAAGAAGTAATCGACTAGAAATTTGAATTTTAGTCATTTAAGGTTTATGATTTTTCTATTTCCTTCTGAGGAGACTGAATAGTTCAGTGAAACGAGGTTCGTAGCTGGCTTCCCGTTAAGGCTTTGTACAATTCTAGGTTTTTCTAATTTTTTCCTTAAACTTTTTGATTTTTATTATTTAGTTTATTTCTATAAGATAATTTTTCTTTTTCTTTTTTAATGATATTTATTGAGAATTTTAAAGTTACAAAGAAAAAAGAAAGAAAAGACAAGAGAAGGAAAAAAAGAGAGAAAGAAGTAGATAAACATAACAATTAAACAATACAATTCAATAAAAACCAAAGTCGAAAAAAATAACAAAACACACAATGCATCAAGATCAAAAAACAAAAATACAAAAAACAAAAAACAAAAATAACCAAAAAATTAAAAAACAAGTCTAATATTCTCAAATCCTTAACTTTCATTAACTTATTTCAACGACCTCCTCACACCTCCCTTTTTTGTATTCTAGTTGTTAATTATCTCAGCAAATCCTTTCCATCTTTCACAGTATTTTGTCATTTAAATTACCTTAATCTATTTTAACCTTATCTTACCCTAAAAAACCTTAAAACTTAAATCTTATATATACCAAATTCTTTTAACCATAACGTATTCTTACATAATTCTTTTTGACATTTCTACTAAGGCCCAATAATTTCATTCCAACATTTTTCTAATACTCATAATTTTATGATACTTTTCTAAATAAATTTTTAAAACTTTCTTCCAATCTTCATCCATCGTCTCTTCTTCCTGGTCTCGGGATTTTGTCAGTCCTTTCTCATCCATCTAACCCATCAACCTGGTGCTCTAATGTCCGAGGCTCTTAAGTCTTTTCCATGTCCCTTCTGCAGGTCTTCTTCTTGTTTATATCTGCCCTTTACTTTGTCTTTTGTTGATCTTTTTCTTATTTTCTTTCCTTTCTCATTGGGGGGTAGGTCTCGGGAGGACTCCAATCCAAAAGTATCTCCATCTCTCCTCAGCAGATCAGCCCATTCCCCACAGTCCCATTCCCCACAGTCAACACTGTAATCCAGAAAGTATTTAAAAGCATGTTTCAAAGTCCTTCCCAAATCAAGAGCCCTCACAACTCCAGACCCCCCCTGGTCCACTCCAGATTCAAACTTCAAGAGCAGCGGCTTATACTCCTGCAAGGCCTCGGATCTCTCCATTTGTGTTATTTGAGGTTCAACAGCAACCTCCTCCATTTTCTTCTGCACTTGCGCTTGCCCTATCAAAACAGATTCCTGGGCTGGTTCCTGAATAGTTTCTATATGGGTATTTGCCGTTTGTCCAAAGTTTTTAACTGCAACAGTCATCAAATCCATCTTCTCATGCATCTGCTCCAGCAAAGCACTTGTCTTGCAAAAAGCAAGCACCAAAACTTCTTGTAAACACATTTTTCCCCCCAAGGTTAGAGTCTGGTCTCACGATCCTAATCATACAGCTGTGAGGTCCCCAGATCAGCTCCGGCAACAAATTAACAGGCTCCCTCTAGAGGAGACAATTTCTATTTGTATCCATCTTTTAAAAGCAGGACCAACAAAGAAAAATTATTTCACTTTTCAAATACTTTGTTTCTTTTGATTGCAAGAAGCAACATTGGAGTCAATTTGTTTCTCTTTTTTTTCACCATCTGTCAAAAGACATTCCATTCACAGTCGATGAACTTCCCAATAAATTTCTGTCTCTGACACCCCGTTCCCAGGTTTGAGATAGTGGAAAATTTATCTCTCTTTACTCTCTCTCCTGCAGGCTTAAACAGTCAAAAATCCCCCTCTTTTCTCCTGCTTCCAAGAGGGGTTTTGGTGGTGATGAATGAAGGAAATTTAAAACTTTATATATGACTTTCCAGACTTTAGCTTACAAAGTTTTTGCTTCAATCTATTTACAAAAAACGGGAGGCGGACTTCCTGTTTAGAACCTTCCCGTTTCGGTGCCAAATTAAAATATTTCTTAGTACTTGATCCAATTTTCCGTTCTACTCACGGGTACTTGTTTAGAGTCCAATTGTCCACAGGAAAAGGTCAGCGCTCTCCGGCAATGGCTGTGCGGCTTCACTCCGTAAAAGTACCGGTTGATTCAAAACACCGCGCCGCTCACGCCACGTCGCTTCGGACCCCCGAAAAAGGGGTTCCCTGCGAGTAGGGGAGGCGCTCCTGGTGTCAGCCGAATCCCACGTTCCCAGGCTTCCTCCGCCTGGGATTTTTAAAGGGTCTCCGCCTTCGCCGCGGCAGCAAGACCCGATTTTCACGGAGCGGGTTCCTCTCTGTCAGAGGAACTCCGCCATTGCCGATGGCGCTTTCCCGGAAGTCCCTATAAGATAATATTTCTAGTCGATTACTTCTCGTTTCAGGTATTTTCACAGTATTTCACTTGTTTTGTGTCATTCCTTGGATTAGAATGGTGGAATTGTAGGGTTGGGTGGGACCCCCAAGGGCCATCCAGTCTGACCCCCTGCGATGCACGATGCCCCTTCTGCCTCCCCACAGACAACACGGCCGCCGTGCACACGCAGCGCCTGGGCTTCAACCGGCAGGAGCAGGACCTCTTCCTGCTGCCCATCCTGGTGGTGGACAGCGGGCCCCCCACCCTCAGCAGCACCGGCACCCTCACCATCCGCATCTGCGGCTGCGACAGCTCCGGCGCCATCCAGTCCTGCAACACCACCGCCTACGTGGTCTCCGCCTCGCTCAGCCCCGGAGCCCTCATTGCCCTGCTGGTCTGCGTCCTCATCCTCATCGGTGAGTCTCTGCACCCCACGGAGCCCCCTTCCTGCCCCTCCGGGGGGGAGGGCCACACCTCCAAGAACAGGCTTAGACGCACAACATAGAAATATAAAATGAGGACACAAATACATAAGAAAAGGAAAGGAAAACAATGAAGCCCCTCCATCAACACTTTAAAGGACAGAGGCTGTTCATCAGCCAAAGGCCGAGTGAAAGAAAAACTTTTTTCCTGGCACCTAAAGATATGGAAGGAAGGTGCCACAGATGGGGAGCCACTGCAGAAAAGGTCCCGTTCTCGTGTTGCCACCCTCCGCACCTGGAGGAGGAGGCACACGAAGGCGGGGCTCAGAGGAAGATCTCAGGGTCCGGGTAGGTTCATATGGAAAGAGGCGGTCCTGGGGTATTGGGCTCCTGAACCAGTTAAGGCTTTATAGGTCAAAAGCAGCACTTACAATTGGGCCTGGAAACTAATCAGTAGTCAGTGTAGTTGGACCAGGATCAGTGTAATAGGCTCAAGCCATCTTGCTCCGGTGAGCAACCTGGCTGCCGAATTCTGCACCAGTTGAAGCTTCTGAACTGTCTTCAGGGGCAGCTCTATGCAGAACACGTTGCAGTAATCCATCCTTGAGGCTACCAGAGCAGAGACAGCAGAAGTTAAAACTATCCCTGTAGGGGCTCAGCTGGGACACCAGGCGAAGCTGACGGAAGGTCCTCTGTGCCACTGAGCCTCAAGCGACAGTAGTGGATCCAGAAGGACCTGCTCCTTCAGAGGAAGGGGAACCCCATCAAGAGCAGGTGCCCTCCCACCCATCTGGTCCAGGGAATCCCCCACTAACGGGACCTCCGTCTTATCTGGGTTGAGCTTCAGTTTGTTGGCTCTCATCCTGTCCATGACCGAGGCAAGACACTGGTCCAGAACTCCCACTGCCTCACCTGCAGATGCCAGGGAGAAAAAGAGCTGAGTGGCATCAGCATACTGCTGGCAACAGACTCCAAACCTCCGGATGACCCCACTCAGAGGTTTCACGTAGATGTATAACAGCAGGAGGGATAATACAGACTTTGAGGAACCCCACATTGAGGGCTCCATGAGGCCTGAGCCCTTCTCAAGCCTCCCTCTCTGGAAAGGAGCCAGAGGAGGTGGCTTTGCCTTTGTAAGGAAAGGGAGAGCCCGTTCGGGTAGGAGGTGCTTGGAAGGAGCCCTTGGCTCTTGCCTTGTCCTGGGGGGTCCCCTGCTCTCTTCCCGCCTTGACCACCCCTCTCCCCCCCCCCCAGTGCTGGTCCTCCTGATCCTGACTCTGAAGCGGCACCAGAAGGGCCACCTCTCTTCCGAGGAGGACGAGGACATGCGCGACAACGTCATCAAGTACAACGACGAGGGGGGCGGGGAGCAGGACACGGAGGCCTACGACATGTCTGCCCTGCGCAGCCTCTACGACTTTGCGGAGACCAAGGGGGGCGGGGGCGAGGGCCCCCCCGTCCTGCCCTCGGAGCTGCACTCGCTGCCGCAGTGGCGCCCGGCGCCCGACTTGGACTTCTCCGTCTTCAGGGACTACATCAGCAGGAAAGTGGGGCAGGCGGACGAGGACCCTTCTGTGCCCCCCTACGACTCCTTCCAGACCTACGCCTTTGAGGGGGCCGACTCCCCTCCCGCCTCCCTCAGCTCCATCGCCTCTCGCTCCACGGGCTCCGAGCAGGACTTCTCCTACCTGGGCAGCTGGGGGCCACGCTTCCGGCAGCTGGCGGCCCTCTACGCCGGGCGCCGGGGAGGGGAGGAGGACGGCGGCGGTGGCAGCGCAGAGTCCTAGGCCCACCAAACCAAAAAGACACCCCACCCACAGCGGAGGAAAGAGAGCCAGGCTGGCAGTGGCTTCTGGGGGGGGCACCGTGCGGGCGCAGCCAGGTCCAGCCACACAGCAGAACCCCCCAAGTGCCCTGGCCTGCCTGCAAGGGGAGGGCCTTGGGGTGAGGGAGGGCCAGGGCAGGGGGCCAGGGAAGCCCCACTGCTTGCCCCCTCTCCTCCTCTTCTACTGAAACTCTCCACGCCCCTTGAAGACTGCATCTCTGCCCGCCAGGACTTCTCCCCTGGCAAATTATCATTTAAATGGATCTGTGCAGGGGAGGGGGCGGCCTGCCTGGGAGGGAGGGGAGCCTTTTGTTGTCGAAATTGATTTTGTCACTTGATTCCAACGTTTGACAAGCTTTGATTTGCTAAGCGGAGTCTTTGCCAAGAGGAGCCTGCTGCTCCTTCTCCCGCTGGCTGGCTCTCCTTCCCGGGTCTCCCTCTCCAGGACATTCCCCCGGGACCTTCCTCTCTGGCCTCATCCTCGGGGAAGGGGAGGCCTTTGGTTGTGGGTTCCAGGGAGGGGAGGGGGCACAGCGCTTTTGCAGTGAGGGGGGGACCATTTTGATTCCCTCCCTTGGCGGCATTCCGTATTGCATTTTGGATTAGAACCTTCCACCCCTCTTGGGGACCAATCCTCAGGGTCTTCTAATTCTCCACAGCAGAGCGCTCCTCTCCCACACGCAGCCCCAGACACGCCCCCAGCAAAGACACCCCCACCTCGTCCTCCCCAGGTGCTTGCAGTGTGACATCCTTCCCCTCCAGCAGGTGCATCACTGTTCCGTAGGGTCTCCCCCCGCCAACCGTCCCCTTCTGGCTCCACCTGCCTGTTTCCCTCTTGCAAAAGTTGTGTGCCATTGGCAGACTCCTGGGACTCCCCCCACCTCTCCCTGCCATGGGTCTGAGGGAGGCAGCTCTCTTGGGGCAAATGGTTGCCCCACAGCCTCCTTGCCGGTCCCACTTCTCCCTACAAAACACCCGGCTTTTCGGGTGAGAGACCATCAAGGGCCCATTGGGACTTGGGGCCAAGATGCAGGCCTGAAGGTGTGTTGGGGGGCTGGGAGTGGGGCAGCCTTCATGACTCCCCTTTCCCCTGGCACCTGCTGTGACCCCCAAGCTCCCTGTTCCTGGCCAGTTCCCCCCCTCCTGCCCCCCTTTGCAGGCCTGCCTGACTTTACGGCTCGGACCAAGCCGAGTCGCTGGTTCTCAGGATTTTTCCCAGTCTCCCTGGGCTGTTCCGGTAGTGGGAGGGGGTGGGTGGGATGGGCCTCCCCAAGCCAGCCTGGCCTTCACTGTGACTTCCCCTCTGGTTCTAGAGAGGCAACTGGGCAGATGGCAGCCCGCCCCCCATGGTCCTTGTCCAAAGGGTGGGGGCTGGATGCAGGGAAAGCGGCTCTTTGCTCCCCTCCCTCTCCTCCTCAGGAACACCTCCCATTCGCTCCCCTCCCTGTTCCCTGGGGGCAGCCGGCCTCTCAGGCCACGGGCCAAACAGGGTATGTATCTGGCGCTCCCCCCCCCACACTGCCTGCCCTCCCACCCACCTGCCCAGAGCTGCTGTCCTGGTGACACCCCTCCACTCCTGCCTCTTCCCACCTGTAAATAGGGGTGCGTCTCCCCTGCCCCCCAAAGGATGCCCCCGCAGGAGGAGCTGGCAGGCCCATGGAGCACGGGGGGGGGGGGGGCAGCTGTGCTTTGAGTTCTGAGCCAGCCGAGTTGCTCACCTTTGGTATTTTCACACTTTGGTCTTTCTGGGACCCGGAAATAAATGATCTCCTTGTCGTCTTCCTGGAGTCCTTTGTGCTGCTTTCCTTTGGGAAGGGGGGGGGGCACCCACCCTGTACGTGACAGACAGACAAGGAGAGGGGCCCCCAGCACCTGCCTGCTCCCTGGGGGTGAGGTGGGGAGGAGAACCCCCTGCTGCCCTTTGCAGCTGCTGGGCTTGGGACTGGGGGGCAGCGAGCTCCCCAGAAGGGGCCTGGCCTGTGTGTCTGCCCTGTGGGGATTTTGGTTCATTGGAGGTTTTCAGACAGAAGTCGGATGGCCGCCTGCCAGGGATTCTTGAGCTGAGATTCCTGCATTGCAGGGGGTTGGACTGGATGACCCCAGGGACTCCCTCCATCTCTACAATTCTATGATTTTAGGAAAGCCTTGCAGCTCAGCCAGGAGTCTGGCAGAGACCAGAGCCCCTTTCCGGTGCTGCACAGGGGCGACTCCACAGAAGTGGGTCTGGGCCGCTGGCTCCAGGCAGGCGTTCGGAATCCCCTCCCGCAAACGAGAAATGGCTCTCCCTATCCTAAAAGGGGTCCGGAGCAGATCTTCCTGCAGCCCTTCCTGCCTCTTTGAATTGTCACGTGGCCCTCGGAGGTGTTGAATTCTTCACGACCCACATATTTTTGTAATGCGTTTAATTTATAATTCACAATTCGTAATTTGTAATTCATGACACTGTACTTTGCAATTCCCATTGAATTGAAGGGGCTGGGGGTCAGGCGAGACTCCTGGCTGGTCTGCAGGAGGAGGAGGAGGAGGAGGGATGTCTCAGCCCAGCGGAATCTCTGGCGTCTCCTGCAAGAACCCTTTTAATCTGCCACTAATTTGAGGTCTGCGCTTGAGTCTCTGAGCCGGCCCCAAATCCAGCTCCTCTCCATCCCCCCCAACGGCTGCTTGCAGGGAAGGATCCTGGCAAGGCGTCCCAAGAGGACTGCTGCAATCCTTGGTAGTTTCTTGGGAGGGGAAAGTGGACTCAGATGGGCAGAGATGCTGGAAGGAGGCCGGGAGGGAGAGGATGAGAGCCCCATGTGGGGTGTGCCCTCTTCCGCTGCGTGATGACCTCAGGGGTCAGTCCCCCAGCTTCCAGAAACCCTCTTTTAAGTGTTCCTGGGCAGGTCAGACGGGGGGGGGGGGGTCATGGCTTTCCTCTCCCCTCTCATGCCCACAGCCAAGCTAGGCAGTCTTCCTGGGCAGCCAAGAGTCACTCATGGGGGCGGCTGGTCTCTGGACTAAGAATTGCCAGCCTTTGGAGCACCCATGGGTAAAGGTAAAGGGACCCCTGACCATTAGGTCCAGTTGTGACCGACTCTGGGGTTGTGGTGCTCATCTCGCTTTACTGGCCGAGGGAGCCAGCGTACAGCTTCCGGGTCATGTGGCCAGCATGATTAAGCCACTTCTGGTGAAGCAGAGCAGTGCACGGAAACACCGTTTACCTTCCCGCCAGAGTGGTACCTATTTATCTACTTGCACTTTGTGCTTTCGAACTGCTAGGTTGGCAGGAGCTGGGACCGAGCAATGGGAGCTCTCCCCGTCACGGGGATTCAAACCGCTGACCTTCTGATCAGCAAGTCCTAGGCTCTGTGGTTTAGCCCACAGCACCACCCACGTCCCCATGGGTGTGGGTGGGGAGCACCCATGGGTGCGGGTAATTAAGCAGCATAGATAAATGGCTTGGCCACATGTTAATCCTGCCTTTCGCCAGAAGACTTCCAGGTGACTGCTGACAGTCAATTAAAACAATGCAGCCGCATTAAAACGACACAAACTTGAAAACGGCAGAGATTAAAACAATAATTAAAAACACCCAGTTGGACACTTAGAGCAGCTTCCAACGCATTTAATACACTCCACCAAACGGCTTTCCCCAAAAGGGAGGTTTTGCCAATGCAGTGTTTGGAGCGAAGGAAGCACTGGGCTGCCTCCCTCGGGAGGGAGGGGCAGAGCCTCTTGCAGTCAAGGAAAAGCCCCCCCCCCCAAAAAACAGGGTTGCTCATGGGGGGCATGGGGTCCCTTTAGCTCGGGTAGGAGATCAGGGGAGGGTTCACTCTGATATCCTGGTCCCAAACTGAACGGACCTTTGAAGGTTTCTTTCACCAGTGCTTTGAACTGGGAGAGGGCAAGCTGGGAACTGGGGCAAGAGCACAGCATCTTCTGGAGAGGCAGGTCCAGCTGAGCGATATGGCAGCCACAGAAGTTTCTGGGCATTTTCCAAAGGCGGGAGCCCACATGCGATGCATCCGAGGCCTCTGTCACGATGGGCAGATCTGCCTTCTCCGGGAACAGAGAGAGCTGGCGCACCAGCCTGGGCTGAGCAAAAGCACATCTGACTGTAGCCGTCAGCGCGCCAAGGACAAGCCAGACTCCAAGTGACAAGCCTGCCTTTCAAATGGGGGTGCTGCTCCCTCCCTCCCCCTCAACCCCCCGCCTGGTGGGGATTGAGCTTCATTGTGTTTGGCCACATTCAGTCTGTTTCCACCTCAAGGCATCGGTCCAGCCGCCGCCCTGACTGTGATGGAAGAGAGAGGTTCTCCCGCTTGTCATCTCCGTATTGATGGCTCCAAATCTCCATACAACCTTTTCCCAGCGGCTTCCTGCAGATACTAAACAGCCTGAGAGACAGAACCGAGCTCCTGGGGGCCACCATGAGCTTAGGAGCCAAGGCACTGACCGGGAGGTCCTCAGCACCAGCTTCTGAAAGATAAGAGGAGCCTGATGGATCAAGCCAACGGCCCATCTAGTCCAGAATCCTGTTCTCCCAGTGGCCAACCAGGTGCCTGTAGGGAACGTGCAAGCAGGATCCGAGCACAAGAGTTCTCTCCCCTCCTGTGGTTGCCAGCAATCGGTGTCCAGAAGCACTGGGGCCTCTGACTGTGGAAGCCGCTGGTAGCCCTCTCCAGGAAAGTGTCCCTGCAGGAAGAACAGGAGCCGCAGGCCCCAGATTCCACTCCCGCCATGCTCAGTTGGTGGAACTGAAGGCCACTGAGAAGTACCAGAGGATTTTCCCACCAGGGCAAGCAAGGCTGTTTCTGTGCCGACTGTAAAGCTGGATTGGAATCTGCTCTAGATAACCTGAGGGGTCGTCCCACACTTGCACACCTGGGCCAAAAATGGAGCCAGGGACCAAACTGGTCCCACATTCAACCCCTGGGCTTTCCAGGGCTGTTTTGGTTTGCAAGATGAAGTCCTAGCAAGTGATGGGAAAGTCCCTTTTGAACCTGAGACCCTGGAGAGCTGCAGCTGCCCGTCAGAGCGCAGAAGAGTGGGCCAGCCTGACCTGGGAGAAGGCAGCCTCTGATCCTGCTCGCTGGAGTCCTGCCTGGTTTAGACAGGGAAGCTGGTTGCTCTGGGGCGCCTGATGGGAAGGGCCTGAGGGCTGGAGCCTGTCCCGGGTGCAGAGTGGGGTCCCGGAAGGAGCCTGCTACCTTTCGCAGGGATTTCAAGGGGCCAGAGAAGAACCAGGGGGAGGGGATTGCTGGCCCACAAAAGGGTGTTGTCGCCAACAACTCAGAAGGCTGTGGACCCTCCTTCAGGGCCGGTTGGATGGCCGGCTGTCAGGGCTTCCTTAGCTGTGACTTCTGCCTTGCAAGGGGTCAGACTAGATGAGCCTCGTGGTCCCTTCCAGCTCCACCCTTCTAGGATCCCAGGTGGGCTGCTGTCTCAGGGAAGGATGCTGTCGCCAACCACAGGGCCAGCTGGGCCCCCCCTTGCGGTCTGTCTCGGGGCCACTCCTGGGGGTTCCCGTTGTGCCCCTGAGGAGGAGAGGTCTGGCTCAGTCCCAGTATTGTCCTCCACTAAGAGGTCAATCCCTGAGGGCCGTTCCACTTCATACCTGCGGTCCAAATCCTTTAGGTCAGTTTGGATCTGGTCAGCGTAAGCCTCTTCCTGGTTTTGGTGTCCCTGGTGATCTGTAGGACCAGGAGAGTCCGATGTTGCCTGTCCTCCTCTCTGCCACGTGTCTGAATTGGGCTCAGCAGCTGCCTGCCTCTGTCTGGAAATCCTGTTTGGAAAGCAAAGGCAGCAAAGCCCCTGCAGCCACCCCCCACCCTGAATGCTGTGCCTTGAATGGGGAGGGGTCTCTTGCTCCCGCTCCTGCAGGCAGACTCCTCAGAGATGCTGTGCTTTCCTGAACTGCCAGACATAAACTGGGGAGTTACGGCAGACCCTGCAGGTGATAAGCTGGGAGTTCAAATGGCCTTGATAAATTAGGAGGCTGTACCGAAAGCAGTATATTGAAATTCAATAGAGACAAATCTTCTGGCACCACCGAAAATCAAAACAAACGCTCAGGATTCCAGGAGAGGAATCGATAGCCAGGCCAAAGGAAGGCTAAGCTCAGCCTCGGGTCTTCCTGGGCGACAGGAGCCAAGCAGGGGTCCGAGGGGAGAGGCGTCGCTTCCTGGCAAGCGTCTGCCTGCAGCTGACCTGGGGGGGGGGTCCCCCTGGCTGAGGGTGGGACCAGGCACCTGTCCATTTCCTGGTGTCCTGTGGCCTCTGGTGATTCAGAGAGACTGGCAGGGGCTGCCAAGGCAGAGCCAGGGTCTCACATGCCAAGGGCACTCCTGAGGGGCACCCTGGCCTCCTTGAATCCGCTGCTTTTAGGATTTGGCACGTTTTCTAGTTACTGTGTGAGATGGGGAGAGGTGCCCAGTTGAGGCAGGGGCTGGAGAGGGAGAGCCAGGAGTGCAGCTGAGCATCCTAGAATGGTAGAGTTGGAAGGGACCCTGGGCGTCATCCAGACCAGCCCCCTGTGATACAGGAATCTCAGCTCAAGCATCCATGACGGGTGGCCATTCAACCTCTGCTGAAAACCCCCCAAGGAAGGAGAGGCCCCCACCTCCCCAGGGAGTCTGTTCCACTGCCAGCTCTCCTCATCAAAAAACTCTTCCGGATGTTGAGTCCGAAAATCGCCCTTTAGTGCCAAATTTGCTATCTGATGTAATTTAACCCTAAAGAGAGTTTTCCCTGGGGAAGGAGCGGGGCAGGGGCTTGCACCCGTGTTTTCTGGGCACATGGAAGT